TTATCGGTGAACCTTCTTCTTCTGTGGAAAATAAACGAAAGATTTTGAAAAAACAACAGTAAAAGTGGTTTTGCAAACGGTTATCCAATGTCAAAAAAAAAAGTCAACATTTTCTAGAAAGAACAAGGAATTTCAAAAAGTCAAACATTTCTGACTCAGAAATTTTTAAACTAATTTCTAACATGCTGTCTAACATGCTGTCATAATCTATGCCTTTTTACCATCCTGCTGATAAAACAAAACCTGATGCTTTATTTAGACAAAGAGGAGCCAGAAGGATTTCTACCCAACAAATGACTCGTAGCTCAAACAGCATGTCGTCCAATAATTTTCAGAAGTATTTTGATTAATTTCTTTGTCTTAGGGCCTTCACTAGGTTTAGTGGTGGTCTATGTATTAAATGCGATTGTGTAGACAAACTATTTTGGTTTTTTTTCAGTGATTTGTATAGACCGACTGTATCTACTCTTGAACAGAGACTGACTTCACCACCAGAGTTTAGCTCCAGCTCTGAAGCTGATCTTGTCACAAAGATTCCCACAACTCCAAGAAACCAGAAGGTCGACGTCAGACGAAGCGATCAACAGAAAGTCACCCTCAGACCTGGAAGAGGAAGTGAGTTTTTACCCCAGCAGGTTTTCATCCAAGCAGAGTTTTGTTATAAGCAAATGTTATGACTATATTTCGGATTCAAAGTGAAACATGGCCTTTGTTTCTACCAGGGTTAGGGTTAGGGTTAGGGCTCCACTGTTTGGGCTCAAACAGTGGATGAAATACTTGTTCTCCTGTTTGGGAGGCCAGCAAGTGAACTTTGGAAATGCTCACACTGCCACCTATTGGTGATAGGAAGTATTATGTTTGGACAATTTTACAGGTTCCTGACTCAGCTTATTAGATAGAGGGGAAAAAGAGTAGTAAGTCAAGAATGTTAGACTTTTATTATTTTCAAAGGTCTACAGTTTTAAACCTTTTCAAGTTTTTTTCTAATTTTTTATTAGATTCATCTCAAAATGTGTAAGTTTAAAAATGTTTAACTTTTGAAGCTGAGAAATATTTTCTGTCTTGGTTTGAGAAATTACTTTTTTTCCATATAATTATGATGCCATGCGGCTGTGATTGACCCATAGAAAACAGATGTAGTGCAATAAATAAATGACAGAAGAATAGTTTAAATAAAATTGTTTTAAGGATTCCTTGCAATGTTTGCAGTGAATGGGAAAAGAAAATCATTCAAACTGTTCTTGTCCTACAGAGCAGAACATCCACTTTGGGAAAAAGTTAACATCAACCATTTCAGACCTGCAGCAGGAAATGACTATTTGTTTGGTCAGATTTTTACCAATGCAACCATCTTGTTTTCAGACACAAATCCTCGTCTTGCCTGCTGCACCAGAATTTACGATAAACCTGTAGCCCTGAGCAGCATTTCTGCATATTACATGACTGATCCTCTTTGCGACATCAATGCAGTCATGTAAGTACCACAGGACAGCCGGGTTTCTGTCCTTCTGTCCTAGATACAAAATTAGCTCTGCTTTATTTTTGACTTCACCGTTAAAACTAAAATTTATAATTGTACTTTTTTTTTTCTTTTGTAAAAAAAAAAAAAAATTATGTGCCTTTCTTTTCTTTCAGCTTTGTAATTAGAAAGCAGCGCCTCGTCTGTGTGAATCCACAGAAACCCTGGGTGATGAGGTCCATGAATATTCTGAAGAAAAGGCCAAATTAAAAAGACCAACTGGAATGTGTCTCATGTGTAAACCTGCCTGGGTCAGACCGCGATACAGGCAGAGAAAACCACCGATGACAAAACAAACTCAAGTCAAGGCTCAGCTCGAGCGACCGGAGCCTTGACCCGAGGAGACGCCAAGGTCAGATGAGACCAGAATCAGGCAAGACGTCAAACATGTTAGCCAAGCTGATACAAGCTTTGACATCATTGTTTGTAAGTAATATTGAAGGTTATCATTATGATTAATTTTTTTTTTTTTGTTCTTGCTTTTGGAAGAATTTGATATTTTCCTGTTTAAATTGAATTTGAATAATTTAGCCCATATGCTGTATTTTTTCTTTGACTTCTTGATTCCAAATGTTTCTAAATTTACACAAGTTCATGTTCTATCCGAGTGACTAAGCAGAGAAACACTGTGCTGATGTGTGGTGGATTTGTAGCATGACTGCAGTCTTTTATTGTACTGTATGTTGACACAACATTTTTACTGGATTTATTTCTGGTTTTGTCAACAGTTTCACACTTTATTCCTATTAAACCATTCAACTCAACGCATTGGTCTGTTCCTTAGATTTTGATTCACTATGTATTTAACTAAGCTTATGTTCATGAGGACACTTAGTGAGGACACTAATTATTTTATTTATTTTTTCAGTCAAATGCTCCTCTGAGGAAAAGAAAGGCAAGGGACATTAGAAATTTAAATATTTATTTTGGCTTATTTATTAAAAATAACCCCACAAAGACATTCCAAGCCTTCAATGTTTCACAAAAGTTTTCCAGATGGTAAGATAAGGATCAAATAGGCCTGTAAGGCTGCAGACAATCAGGACACATGGATTTGCAAAACAGTTTTTACCAGAAAATATGTAAAGAAATCAATTTTATTTTGTTTAATTTCAGACTGCATTAAATTCTGAAGGCCACATTATGTAGTTTTAGCATTTAAACCCAACATTTGAAACTCGATACATTGTGCAAATATATTTTCTTCATTAGAACGTAAAGCTGAATTTATGATTTCAGTTCATGAAGCTGAAAGAATGCGTCATGAAAAGCTCCTGTCCACACTGAGCTAGCAGCGTCTGGTCAGTGTGCTCACAGGAACAGACTGTACAAAACGAAGTGACGTCACACAGGCAAAAAATATGACTTCCACTTAAGAGATTTTAATTAGGCAGTAAATTAATGAGTCAAATATTTCACTCTGAGCAGCAGGTCAGTTTCTGTCTCGATGCGTCTTTGTAGCTACATTCAGTCGCCACAAAGTTCATTTAGGATTAGTTCACTTGAAGTGTGACATTTTGGAACAACTAATTTTGTGCTTGGTGTACTTTAATAGTATTTAAATTGTTTTAAATCACAATTTAAAGTGTACTGAGTGCACTGAGTGTACTGAGTGTACTTTAACGTACATCTTTGGACAACTTAAGTTAAACTTTGTGTACTTTAAGTACGTTGCGTTATACATAATATAAACACGCTTTAGTTTATTTGGAGTGCATTATTTCTGTGTTTGAATTACATTTGAAATATACTTAGAATGTATTTTGAGTATATTAGCATTACATATTTTCTATATTAGTAGTGTGATCACAGTATTATACAATTACAGCTTCGGTTTATTATAATTGCTAATAAAGTAACTTTTTAGTGACTTAATGTCTTTTATTATTCTGCTTTGCCACTTTGTACATTACATGCTTCACACACACTACAGTACTGCAAAGACATCAGGTACCAGAACACAGAAGGATCCATTACAAAACACTTTATTTGACGGGGTGTACATAAGACTGATATAAACTTGAAGGAGTCTTTATGAATGTCCATAACATAAAGTGCCATTTGGCAAATAATGACACATTTAATGCAAAGTTACTTTAAAAGTTGGATTAAAAGTGCATTAAAAGTGCCAGCTTTGCATTAAAGTGTCATTATTCACAAAATAATGCTAAGTTGGCACTTTTAATGGACAGGCAAGGCAGGGGAAGAGACGTTTATGTTTAGGCTAGAGAAATTGTTAGCCAGCTAGATAGGAATATCTATGTTATCTATATATGAATCCTGACAGACTGTAAGAAAAGAAAATGAGAAATCTTAGATTATGAGTTTCTTTTATTTACTATATTTTTCCAAATGCATCGCCAACACAGACACCTTTATATTTTAATATGCAGATTTTCTTCCATGCAGAGTCAAAGACTTATTGTAGAAATGTCACATGAACCACCAAATGTCTTTGCTCTCTCTGGCCTCTGTGTTTACACTTCTCTAACTGAGATTTGCGATGCTGAGAAGCTCAAGACATGGAAAGAAATTTATTTTCACCAAGATGAACTTCCTCTATCCAGATGTTCTGTGTTAGCAAATCCACAGAAGAACAGTCCAGAATCAGAAACATTCAGCTGTTTTAGAACAGATGTGGGTTTTGTTGAAACTTGTGTTAAATGATCCACTTTTAAATCCGTCACAATAGTTGATCGATCCTGTTGGCAAGCTGACAAGAGATTCAACTGATCCTGGTTCTGCTGACTAATCAGAACCAGAACATCGGAGAGTCAGGACGTTTGTTGCAGAGCAGAGTGACGTCTTCACCTGGAAGAGAAACAGAGACAGAGATGCATCCTGAAACATACAAACAAGAGACTTATCAGCAAAAATAAATACAATTTGTTGAACAAAACGTACAAATTATGGTAAATGTTAAAGAAGTTATTAATACATTTACAGTGATTAAATAATAAAACTTACAGCAGCTGAAGAGAACAGCTCCTATATAGACAAAGTTCTTCATGCTGTTGTTGACGGAAGAGACGAGAAATCAGGAAGCTGTTAGCAGAAGTAAAATCATGGTTAAAAAAGAAAAGTTTGAACTGACCGCTTTGCTACTTGTTCAAAAACTTTTAATTTCCAGTCAGGGTTTCCTTCATTTGGGAGGGGATGTGAGTGAGCTTTGGGTGCTGAGCAGCGGATCATGTAGTCAGGGGGGAAGGTTTCAACTGCAAAACATGACAAAGAGCAGAAACCTCATTGACCACTAATGGCTAGTTTGACAGCGCTGTCGTGTGCGTAGTATACCGCCCAGCCTCCTACAGTTCATATCCTGTTAGGTTTGTGGTTTTATCTAAAAATGGTCACTGCAGAGAGACATGAAACCTCATAACCATATAAAGTTGTGGTTCACCCTGTAGCTCTAATCTATCATGTTTACAGTCTGTCTTCTTCCCTGACTGAGTGAAGTCAGAGATCAGCAGCCGATCAAATCATGCAGCAGGTGGTTCGGGTCAGTGTGGTTCTGCTGAATGTCGTCTGGATCTCCTTCTTTTTGACTCCAGATCTGGACTTCTCAGGTGAGACCAGCTAAAGGAGAGGAACCTTTAAATGTTGATGCTGCTGATGTGACATTAGTTTGAACAAACAAACTGTCTCTAGTCACATTCAGACTTCCTGTCTGCCTGTTTTTTCTTTGTAGGATCTGATTAAGATAAATACGGAGCCCACCTAGAGAACATGGGGGATTGTATTTTCTTTCTCATTTCCTCACAAAAGTGTTGCATTCTGAGCCAGTTGAGAGTGAGACGTTCTAGTGGAAAAGCGCCTTAGCAAGTTAGAGAGAAACTTCAGTTTTTGTAGCCAACAGGAAGTTTCTGCCAAATATTTAGCACTCCTTCAAAAAAAAGATTGGTCAGAGTTTATTAAAACTGGTTGGTTTCCTGCAATAGATGTCATTTTTAAAGGGGGTTTGGTGGTATGATGTATTTTCCAGGCATATAGCACCATATTTTGGACAATCAAGTAACTATATTAACAGTTAGTTCTATGCAATGACTTCTTTTGGTTCAAAAGTTCTGGGGAAAGGTTTATATTCACTCATTATGAGCATGAATGTTATATAACTTTAGTGTCTTAAACAGTTTAATGACCTATAACTTTTCTCAGTGTGCCATACGACCGCAATGATTTGCAACAAAAAAGCTAATTTTGACCCATCAGGTTGAATAAGGTTGATTCTCTCTAATCATCAGTCAGAATTTAACATGGAGGTTCACACACACCTACTAACCTTTTGTTATCTTAATGCACTGGCATGTTGCATACCAGGCAGTTAATGTACAGCTCGGTTCTGATGGTGACTTTTTCTGGTCACCCTTCTCCCTAATGGGGTCGGGAGGTGCTGGTGCCTATCTCTAGCTGCGTTCCGGGCGAGAGGCGGGGTACACCCTGGACAGGTCGCCAGTCTGTTGCAGCACATAAATACAAATTTTATCATATATTGTCCGCCAAGTGGAGATTTCAACCTCTGTGCACCAAAATAGCAACATGCATAGTTCCTATAATGATCTCAGCAGACTCGTCGCAGTTCTACCAGGGGTTTGCTAATTGCTGCTGGCTGATCCAGGCCTTTTGACATTTCTGGTTCCAACTCTCGATATTAAAGATGATTGCAGATGAGATTTATGCTTCATTACTGGATGACTCGACAGAAGAATTGGTTCAAATAAATAAGTTAAAGTCCAACATTAGTATTCAACATGAGTGGATGTGACCTTGTGACCTGCTCTGTAACCATGGAGATGTGTCTCTCAGTCTTTGTGCAGAGGAGAAGCATCAGCAGCTCTGATGAGACATTCATGACGGAGTTCTGCCTTCAGCCAGACTCTGACAGGAAGTGGACACCAGCTGGACCTTTAACCAGCGGTCCAGATGAAGACATTACCACCGTCACAGAACAACGTGGTGAGACGTAAACAGTTTGGTTTGAGATTTAAAGAATTGCTTCCCAAATAGATAATGTTGAATGGACCAACATTTTGACTTAGCATTTACACAGTAGGATGCAGCAAAGTAGTAAAAATACTCTATCGATTGCAGTTTTTGGCATTTTATCACATTTCATGGCCTTTGTCCTAAACGCAGTCAGCACGGGTTCAACTCCCAGCCCTGGTGACATTTGCCACATGTCTTCCCCTCTTTCCTGTTAGCCTAACTTCCAAAAAATACAGACCACTAGAGCCGACAAAATCCTCAGAGAAAAAAAGAGAGGAGTAGAGACACCGTCCAGATGTCCATCTCCTTGGAACAAAGAGTCAGAAGTGGACCATGTGCTGAGGTTAGCCAAGGAATTGTGGTCTATGATTAAAGCAATGAATATAAACATCTAACTCTTTGAATTCTCATAACCAAACCTTCAGACATCAAACTTTATTCAACTTTTTCTATATATTTTTTTAAATTTGAATGTGATTTGAAACATTTAAGTGCAACAAAAAGTCAAGAAGGTAAAAATAATTTTATTTACATAGTACATTTTCAGCAACAAGACAATAAAAAGTGCTTTACAGGAATGAAAAGAAATACAAACAAAATAAACCAAAAGAAAGAGCAAAAGAAAAAAAAAGCTAATAATGTTGATCCAAAGTAAATCAACTAGATACTCTTATTCACGGTTCTTAGATAAGTATCATCTGGTCTAATTCCTTTTCTGGTTTTGGAAATCATAAATGAAGCAAACACTTAATCATGGCACAATGGATTTATATCATTATGTCAAGAACAAACTTCTCAGTTGAAGTAGATACATTTTAAATATAAATCTTCCATGAATGATTGTGGGTTGAAATGTATGTGACTTATCAATATGTTTTATGCATTATTAGCAGTAAATTGGGAAAAAACCACTGAAGCTGCTCCTGTTGCAAAGACAATAACAGTTGCTATAAATCGAGAGATTGACATCAACCAACCCATTCAGCAGGAAGTCAACCATCGCCTTTTCGAATGTAAAGAACGTGAGTATTTACTAAAGCTGGTTTTCATCCCAGTAGAGGTGTTACAGTTTTTAAACAAGAAACAAAATTCTAGCTAAGGCAAGATTTCCTTCTCATGTTCTGTGAAGTCGCCATGACTGAGGCTAAATGCAAAAGTGAAACAGATGTTTTCTCTTCAGTATTCATGTTGGTTTAGGATTCAAAATATAAAACAGACTTTTTTTCCTACTCCAGCTGGACCCAAACAATACATACGATATTTGCGCTCCTGCCTGAGGAAGCCAACAAGAAAGCTTCAGTAATAGTCACACTGCCACCTATAGGTGACAGGAAATATTATGGTTCCATTCTTGAGACCTCATTGACTTTTAAATATAAGCCATAACCATATCTATACATGTCGTGTTTATGATAGTGTAGCTGAAAACCACATCAGCAACCAGACCTGAACCACCAGAGACTTGGTTGGATCATGAATTCCTTTTTTGGTCATTATGACTGTTGATGGTATTTATTATTTCTGTCAAGTGATTAGATGACTCTTGTGAGAGTTAGTGTTACATGGAACATGATGCTCAAAGGACACATAGCAAAAGGAAGACCTAATATGAACCATTAAATATGGAAATTGTGTTTAAAAAGTAGAAAAGTCTCAGTGGTACATTGACTGTGAGCCAATCATCTACACATACAATAAAACAATAATGATTTGATTTGAACATGACTGCTCATAGTACTCCAAACCAGGTCTCTGCATCAATTTCAGCAACAACCTGTTCTAAAAACTACAGTGAACACATGGATACAGTCAAAGTGCTTTACAGGAATTTAAAAAATATAAACAAAATAAACCAAAAGAAAATGCAAAAGAAAAAAAAAAGCTAATAATGTTGATCCAAAGTAAATCAACTAGATACTCTTATTCAGGGTTGGTAGATAAGTATAAGTAAGTATCATCTGGTCTAATTCTTTTTCTGGATTGGGAAATTGTAAATGAAGCAAACAATCATAGCACAGTGATTAACTGTCCTCAGTCATCCTCCTGCTCTGCATGCTGGGAGCCGCTCTGCTGGCCACTGTCCTCTGCAACAGTAAGTTCATCTGGAGACGACGCTTCACCCATCAGCTGATTCAATTCTGTCTTCTTTTCTGATTTTGTTGTGATTTCTTGAGCAACGACAATAAAAGGAATTCTGATTCTGACTCAATTCAAAATCAAACTTTATTTACAGATCCCAAAGGTAAATGAAGTGTTGTACATCGTGTTCATTTAAAATTGTTCATTCACCAACGGTGTTATTTTCAGATTCAGGTATTCCAGAGGACTGCTGCTTTGAATTCTTCGGAAAACCAGTGAAAAAATTCCTCATCTCCTGGTATTACAAGATTGATTCTCGCTGCCCCAAAAGTGGAGTTGTGTAAGTCCTGTTAACTGAGTTCTTGTTATTCGCTGAATGTGAATTATGCGGTTTTATTTCTGACTTTCCTCAGTTCTATTGAAATCAAAATTCATTTATTACTTTTATCCATCTTTTGAGAAAAATGTCTTTTCTTTCAGCTTAATGACACTTAAGGGACGTCCCATCTGTGCGAATCCAAATCTGCCCTGGGTGAAAAATGTCATGAACTATGTGGACAGAAAGTCCTTGTAAAGTTTCTGCCATCTATCCTAATGGTCCAATAAAACTCATTCGACAAAGCAATAATGTTTTCACTATCATAATTATTTTGGTTTCAAATAATCAAAGATTTTGCCTATAAATGTAATCATTGTTGATGTTTGCATCATTTCTTTTGGAAGCTTTGTAGATTAACTATCATACATCAGTGAGTGGAACCATTCAGATTCATGTTGATTTGATTTTTTCTTTTCTTATTGTTCTGTTTTCATCATTTTCTCTAATCAAACACAAAACCATCAAAATTGTTTCCTTTGGTTGTTGTAAGTTTTCCATTTCTTGCTTTTGCTCAAAAATAAACCTGACTAATCAAATAGTTCTGAGTTTTCAATCTTTTTTTAAACGTTTTTTTTTTTTTTTTTTTTTTTGTGGTGGTTTATTTCTAAGTACTAAGACATGGAAGTAGATAAATAGGCGCAAAGGTCACCAGACCAGGAATTGAACCTGCAACAGCCACATCAAGGACTAAAGCCTCCTTAAGTGGGTTGAGCTTCACCACCACAGCATTATATTAGTCCTAAAAATGGGTATTTAAGTAATATAAGTTTATTTCAGCATTAATGTACTGTAGATACAAATCTCTTTTAAAGTCACAACTTATGTATCAACATAAAACTCACTATTTTATTCCTGTTTGCTGTTTAACTAAAGTTAAACAGCAAAAGTTATCCAAGGTCATCAACAGATGACCTTGGATAACTTTTACCAGCAGGGGGTGAAAGGAACATTTTCTGCTCCCATCACAGTAGAAAACAGAAAACTGTCATCATTCTGCCCATTTAAAGGAGACAGTCAGATTCAACAGTTTGATATCTCCAGAAGAAATGAGTCTTTATTTACTCAGACTTTCACCAGATATCAAACTGTTGAATGTGACTGTCTCCTTTTAATGGTCAGAATGATGACAGTTTTCGGTTTTCCATGGTGACAGGAGCAGAAAATTTTACTTTAGGTGTTACATAATCAAAAATCGCCACCCCACTCTGTGTCTCATACCTCTGCATGAGCTTCTTCTCCTCTGTTGGTTCTGGTTCCTTTAGATGCAGAGCAGACCAGAACCAGAAGACCTAAGAGGTCTGGAAGGTTGATACAACAGCAGCAGATCTTTAATGTATTGTGGTGCTAAACCGTTGTGGTGATTTGTAAACTAACAACAGTATTTTAAAGCCTATTCTCTGAGCTACATGGAGCCAGTGTGTGGAAAAACAATTTGTTATGTTTTTTATTGTTGGTACAAAAAGAATATTCATATTAATCTTTTATTTATATTTCCCCCAACTTCTTAACTTTTTCACTGTAAATATATTGTGCATCAGCTGATGTTGCTTTCAAATAATTAAAGTAATATGTCACACATAAACACCACTCTGCATCTCTGATTTCTGACGCTACTGTTTCTTTAAAGGTTAAAATCAACAGTCAAAACAACACCGGCATGATAGAAGCTAAATACAAATGGTAACAATGATGGTAGGTATGTTTCATACAGAGAATCTTAGGAATGATAAAGCATCTGGTGTTGGAGGGGCCCCTGATAGAAATCTATTTGGGGCCCCAAAAAGCCTTGGGCCGGCCCTGAGTTCTATCTTTATGTTTCTGTGCACATGTTGCCATTTTCAAATAAATGTGTTTGTTCCTGCATTATTTATCCTAGAACCGTCTCAGTGCTGGCCCATCTGGTCCAGCAGTGCCTAAGCAGTTGAATTCTGTTTGAAACGGTGCGACTTCATGTCACATAGTGCAACTTTTCCTCATTCAGCCAGACACTATGGGGTGTTATCACCATTGTCAATTGCTGGTTGCCTGATAAAAAGTCCCTAAATACAGAAACAAAGTTTATAAGTAAGTAACGGTGCTGCTTTATTCCTGATCACAGCCCCTCTGCTTATTCCCTCACCACTCTGTGTCTCATGCCTCCGCCCATTTAGCTGACATTTTTCCAAATTTGTCAGGGTAATAATTTCTTCTGGGGGTTAGTTACACTTCAATGCTATAAAAAATGGGAGCCAGGACAAAAGGTCAGATGGTGGAGTAGTTAACTTCAACTTTCCGCCCCTCAAGATTGGGGACCAATGACGCGACGACAACCAAGAACTGACCTGAGAGAATGGATCATGGCGAAGTTCAACCTAACAAAGTTGAGTGAAGTACCCAGAGAGGGGCTCCTGGATCACTGAGTTTGTCATGTATGTTTTACAGCTTTATTCCAAGCATTATCTGGCTGTTTATGACTTTGCTCAACGTGCAGCTGCTGCCGAGATACATAAATAAAGACATAAAGAAAAAAAAAGGTGCAGGAGATATTGGTGGGGACTGTCCCCCGAGGCCAGAGTTGGTGGGGACCTGTCCACGCAAGTCCTTTAGGAAGTTACACCTATGCTTTTTAAGGACAACACATTGGTCAATCACCCCAATTTACATCATTTTATAAATCTGTTGGTAACCGGAGCACCCGGAAAAAACTCCACACTGACACGGGGAGAACAGACAAACTCCCACAGAAAGAGGTGCCCAGTTGAGAACGAAGACGTCTTTTCTCTGAAGGTTCAGCGCTAACCACTGCAGCACTGTGCACGACATCACTGCATCTCATATTTTTGTCTATAATATGAGATGTATTTTGGGGTTTTGGAAATCTGGAGAAGCTGGATCACCCATAGAAAACCCATAACCATTTTTTGGGTTGAAAATAAGAGATGTATTTTGGGGTTTTGCAAATGGTTCAGAACTTAACTAGACATTTTTTTCTAGTCACTTGCTTCAAAGGTTTTCTTGCTTTTCTTCCATTTTTGTGGCTTCCTGAGTCCCAAACTGTGTCGTATCCTTTTGCTCAATGATTTTTCTTTGGCGACTGCCTCCACTGCTTCCTCTGACAGTGATGTTGCCTTCAATACAACATGTTTTTACAAAACAATGTTTGTTCAAATCAGTCTTGAAGAACAATCTCACCGTTCGACTCTCAAAGCGCTTAGCATACGTCTGAATTCTTCAGTTGTGTAGCAAGCAATGAAAAGAAGGTAGACGTTTGCTACATACATGCAGTGCTGATGACATTACAAGCATGACTCTAGTTGCACATAGTTTTCCTTCAACTTTGGAATGATGATGCGAGTGTTTGAGAACTCTACCACACTGACCAACCAGACTCCTCCCCTCCCCCATATTGAAATAGGGCTGGATGAAGGCTAATGATTGGAGGGTCATACAGTGTTAGGGTGACTGATTTATTCTGTAGGCTTTTGTTCATGGTTATTTTTTGTTGAGGCATTGCGTCTTAGGACATTGTCCCGTCTCTTATGTTCTTATGTTTTTAGTTTTGGGTAGTTGGTACGATGCGTATCCATGGCAAAGAGGTGTTATTTTTACTACTGGGAATACCAGAGCATACAGCCCAGAACAGGACGTCAATTAATTGTTTTTTCTCCTATTTTTCATGCTTTTATGCTCAAGTTTTTACTTTTAATGTTTTATGCTCATGAGTTTTGGATTACTGTTGTCTGAAAATGCTTTGCTGGTAAACGTGGCTTCGCTGTAAACGGTGGGCTGTTTCGTTTGTGGTTAAAATCTAAAAATGCCCACTGATACGCACACAAACACAACGCGGGTGTCGCATTGCAGGTCAACTTCCTGTTGACCTACAACTTCCTGTTGCATGCATGCTGCTTGTTTGCCTTCAACAGCAACAGCAGGATGATACAAACCATCAGCAGATAGAAACATGATTCGGCGGGTTTGGATCAGTTTGACTTTGGTGAACCTCCTGTGGATCCTCTTCTTTTCAACACCAGATTCTTTTTTGGGTAAGAACAAAAGAAGGGGCAGAACTTTGATTGATTATGTTCTATGTCCTGTGATGTTGAGCCTTTGTTTCTGATTTGTTTTGTAACTGCCATCACCTTAAAATTGCAGCCTTTAGAGGGATGTGTGTGACACTTAAAATGTGCTATATAAATAAACTGACCTTTTCCCTTTGAAAAAAAAATGTATTTGCAGTGTTCGTCGAGAAAAGAAGCAGCAGCTCTGAGAAGGCGGAGTTTTGTATTAAACATAAATTCAATTTTAACTGGACACCAACAGAAAGGGAAGTCATCACCACCAGCACGACTCTGCAAGGTAAGCTTCAGCTTTTTTGGCATCAAGTATCTGTTTTGGACAACAGACTGACATCTTGATTAAACGGACGGCGGAGTCCGGCGGTAACAGACGCTTAAATTCCGTGTCAAAAGGTTGAGACCTTTTCCTGTTGTGGGCAACGGGGCCCGGCGAATACCCGTGGTTAAACGGACGGCAGAGTCCGGCGGTAACAGGCGCTTGAATTCCGTGACAAAGGGAAGGGGGAAGAAAGGGAAGGAAAAAGGAAAAAGGAAAAAAAAAACCTTGGTATTTTATTCTATGTTGCATGCCTTTGTGTTTTGTGTTTATGATGTAAAGCACTTTGAAATGCCTTGTAGCTGAAATGTGCTATACAAATAAAATTTGATTGATTGATTGATTTGATCTTGCTTTATTGAAAACAGAAGGAAAGTCTCCTCAAATTTAATGACACTCCTTCCAAAGACATGCCATCCACATTAGCTGTGTTTCCATCACAAATATGTGCAAAACATTGTCAATATTATGCTAGTATATATAAAAACATAATTAAAAATACATAAATTCACAAATGTTTCCATTGAATAAGAAACACAATTAAAATCGCAGGTAAATAAGTTTGTAGCTAAAAATAATGCTGCACCATAATCCTCCAACTACTTTCTATCATCTACTTCTTTGTGGTTTCTGCCAGCAGCAACATCCCCCCTTCAACACAGTAAAATAATATGTTATGTTTGCGCTATACTCACATGTGCATATTTGCAGCAAATGGGAAGAGTGAAGAGTTTAACTCCATGGACAAGTGTCTCACAAGTGCTGCACCTCAAATGTGAGTGGTTTCTTCCACCCATCCATTTTCTTCCACCCTTGTCCCGGGTGGGGTCAGGGATGGGAGATAGTTATATATTTTTTTTCTTAATATAACCAGAAAAGAAAATTGGGGCCCTGGCAATTGCAAAATTATTTGTATCCTTTTTAAAATTATTATTATTAAATTAAATATTAAATAAATTTATGAATTTTGACAAATTAAAGCAGCTAGATATAGTTCTATGAATTGACAGATAACGGCTTTAGGTAAAAAGACTCCATCCATTGATTTAAACAGGAAAATCAACATCAACCCAGAAGTAAAACCAAAAGTCAACATCAAACCACCTGAGCAGCGGGATGTGAACGTCAACCAAAGATATTTTAACAGTGAGTATATACTGGATCTAACTTCACATTTCTGTCTATAAATTGTATTTCCTTCTCTTTTCTTTTGTGAAAATCCTTCACATTACATTTATTGTGAATTGGTGTAGCATACATGAACTGAATTGAATTTATAAGCTGATTTATTGAATATTTATCAGAAAAAAACATAAAAGAATGCTCAAGTTTTATGTCCATGCTTGTTGGGTAAAGAGCCTGAAACTTATTGCACTTTGAGGCTGAAACATCTCCACTGCCGTCTGTTGTTTCTTGAACTCTGTGGCTGTACAACCATCAAAACTTTACCTAGGATTCATAAAAGTTTGGAAATCACATTCCATTTTACCAAAGGAAGGGGTAACATAACCAATGCTTTCAGAGAAATATCTGTGCACTGTCAGAAACACTGGCATCTTTCTGTTGGGTGTCCAAAAAGTGAAAGGCTCACTTTTCATGGTGGCACGATGCTTGATTGTCTTCTTTTCAGGTCCAAATTTCGCTCATCACTGCTGCTTTATGTTTTCTACAAGAATGGTGGCAAAAGAACAGATTCGTTCGTACTACATCACCGGTCGCCACTGCTCAAAGTCTGCAGTCTTGTAAGTGTTGGCCGTCAAGAAGCTCATATCGATCACTAATATTGTCCTGAGAAAGTATCTTGTCTTAAGAAAGGTACTTTCTGAGATGTGACAGAATATGTGCTCATCCTGTCATGCTGCAGCCTCAAATATAACTTAAAATAGTGCTAATGTTTGATTTTTATTTGTGTTTTCATCTGTACCAGCTTCGTTCTTCTCTTCTGTTTCAGGTTCGTCATGAGGTCGGGGAGTTACATCTGTGTGAATCCAAAGCTCTTGTGGGCCCAGAAGATCATGAAGGCTCTAGACAAAGAAAGATTTTAAAGTCACCAGGAGACTAATTTTGTTTTTTGTTGTTGTCGTTTTTGCTTCCAGTGGAGATAATGATCATTTTATTCTCTGAGGATTTTGTCTGTTTGTGCATGTCAAAAACAACTGACAGCCTCTAACTTTTATAGTGGTTCCTCTTTTTGGAAAGATGCAAAATATCAGCACAAAGTCATAAACAGAAGAAGAAAAGCCAGATTTCATCAAAATTACAAACCATCGGGAATGGTTTGTAATTTTTGTAATGGCATTGAGAATGTTTTTTGCTCAACCCTAAAAAAACAGGAGTTGTAACTTGCTCAATGTATAATGGAAGGAATTTCTTGTAGTTGGTTTTTATAGATTCTTAAAATCAGTTTCTGTCCACTTGTCTTTACAGAAACTGTATTAATATTGTTTGTTTGTTGGTTATCCTGTTGGAGACTCTGCCTCGGCTCCCTGCAGTTTCAGCAGGTTTAAGATTAACCTACTTCTCCCAACTGCACAAACAGTGGTTGTAATTTAATGTGTAAATACTTTATTCCATAAAAAAATCTATAAACCTTCTTTCTAATTGTTCTGTAGTTTCAATGTCTCCTGTTGTTCAAAGCAGCCTGTGCTCCAGTCCAGCAAATCTAACAGTGACAGGAATCTGGATTTTATAAAAATGAACACAGATCTGTTTGAACCCAGAACCTTCTTGCAAGGCAGTGTGATGCTGCCACTGGCCTCACAATGCACCCAACAAGAAAATAAAATAACATATTTATTACTTTACCTTTAACTGCCAAAGTGATGAAGTGACTCTGATGGTACGTCTGTAAATATGAGTTCATATTAAACCATTTTATTCTGTTTTAATCAAAAATGCACACAGGAACAACTAAACAAGATCAGCCTGTAGGGTGTATAAGGAGATTTTTTTTATCAGCTTTTGTTTCCTTCCTTATCTGCTTCTGGGCAATCAGATTATGATCGTCCTCCATAATTTAAACTTCGTGTTGCATAACCAAAGCCAGTAAGTCTGATCAGAGCCTGGGTGGTTGAATCAACGTCCAGATGATCAGGATGGTTCCCTTCTTCTTCACTCACCTGCTACTGATGACACTGCTGTTTCAACACACTGAAGCAAGTGAGTACAGAACAGTATTGTTTGTTTCTCTAGTGATAATCCATCTTTTAGGTAGTTGTGTTGCACAGATTTACAAGTTACATGTGTAACAGGTGATAGGGATCTATTGAAGGAAAGTGGGTATTACTTTCTAAAGGAATAAAGTTCTTCAAATTGGATTTTTTTTTCTTATTTATTGTGTGAAATTATCTAGACTTTTCTCAACGACAAAACTGTAAACTTTGTCATTTTTTGTTACCATTAGGATTTTGTATTTTGTCTGTATTCCTCAGGGTGAATACAGACAGCAAAGAAACATGGCGTGTCATTTTCCCACCAAAGAAGAAAAAAAAAGACATTAAGAAATGTAATCTTGTTCGTTTAACAGGCACATGTTGACTTTATTGTTTGGGCACCAACACAATGCTGAAACTCAGGCTTCCAAACAAGCTTGACAACACCGATGAACAGATTCATATGAACGACTAAATGGACGCGTCACCTCATCTGTTAGTTTTTAAATGACTGAATCTCCCTGACTATTCAGGTCGCGTTATGATTTTCTATACTTCTCAATCTGATATTGCCTCGCTCCATACGAACTGAGTCGTTTTTGATTACCTCTTCACTTTTCTGAATGCACGGTCATGCAAATCTCCCGTCTTTCGTCTGTCTCACCGGGTTCTTCTGGTCACAGTGCTACCCTGGTGTTTTTTTTACCTCGACTCTCCTAGGTTTTCAATGATCTGTTTCAAAACGCCGACACGATATTGTTGGTTTTTGTAGCTTAGCCTGCTGACGCGACCTTTCTGAATTCTTTCCTATTTTCAACACATCTTTAAAAGAGTGAAGAGCGGCCTCTCGTTGCTCAGTGTGGGTTACGCAATGACAAAGTTGCATAATTTCAGACCAACTGTCCAGTTAGTAGGCGACCAAACTAGAACAGGATCACCTGATTCTGTTCAAGTGCACTCAACAACAACCATGAACATTTTCATTTTCAAAGGAAGCATCCATATCTAATCAAGTGTATTTAGTTTTCTTCATTATTTCTCTCTACAGACAAGGAACTGAGGAGACAGAAGCCACCTACACATGATGAAGCTGCGCATTATCAAGAGTTTTGCTTGAGTATTCCTGAAGCTCCTCGTTCGACCCGTTTGGATTTTGAAACCCCACAGCCTACAAAGTCGGCATCCAAACCAAAACCACCCAGAGAAAAACCCAACACTCCCAAACTGCGAGGACAACAACCCAGACCAAAACAACCTGCTGTTCCTGGAGCCCCGTTGCCTGAGGAAAAGACCTATCCACCTGCTGGTGTTCCTGAAATAGTACCCATAATTGCCCCCTTTGGTTTGTACAGTTCAGGTGAGGCCTCTTCCTGTTACTAAGAGGTGCTTTCACACTTAGTAATCTGGTTTGATTGAGGACCGAAGTTGCAACATTTTTACATTTCCAGCTGATGTGGTTGACTTCTACGCTGCAAAGTCGAACAGACGAAACCTTTTGAATAACCTGTTTCTCTCCTCGCCTGAGGTGGCGCGGCACTGTGAACAAGTGAAGGAAACGACACAAAATTTTCTGAACATATGCATATGCATTTGAACCGTACCAGAGTTCAGTTCAGTTCACCCAAACCTACAGGCTTTCATTCCAGCCTATCTGACGTTCTTTGACAGTTCTTTGATTTTAGAACCCAAAGTTCTTGTTGTTACAGGACTCTTTTCTCTATGGATAAAAACAAACCCTTAGGCAGTATTTTCATGAGGTCTTCTACTTTTTGTGCTGGCTAAGATTCGACAAATGCTTAATAGTGCTGTCACCGTCAATGCCCTGTGGTGCAACTCTTGATTTACCAACTAATTTGAGCCTTGTTGCGTTCATGAGCAGGTGCACCAAATGGTTTTCAAATTCTTCCTGGTTGCTCAACTTCTCGCTTCAATTTTTGTCATTGAATGTTCATATTCCGTTTGAACATATATGTATTTTGCTTTGCTGAATGTCAGATAGAGACATCGAAGTCTCAGACGGATGCTACTGCAAAGAACAAAACAAGAAGTCGTCCACTGAGACCTACCAAGTCAGCAGCCTGACCATACACTATCCCAGTGAAACCTGCAGATCTACTGAATACATGTGAGTCAGCGTGTGTTTATGGGAGATGATGCTTGATGAAAGCAGGTTAAATTTTTTCGTTAATGCAAACGTATTACTTTCTGTGTAAGTTGGATGTTTAACAGTTTCTATGGGATCATCATAATGATTGTTTGTTGAACTCAAACAGGACCAGCAATGCCTCCACCTCTTGTTTTTCAGTGAAATTTTAAAAGACGGAAGGAAAGTTTGTGTGACGTCGTTCAGCCTTCTGGGTCATTTTTTACGGTACGTGCAGAAGATGAGTTGAGTTCCTTGCTGCTCTGCAGAGAGATATCATAGTTTCCCGTGAAAGCTTCTGTGCAACGTCTTATCTCACAGTCGCTATTTCATAGTCAGAGTGCACTCAAAGCTATTTCCTGGCAGATTGAAAAGCGACTTTTTGAGTATCCACGGCAACAGTTTCCCCTTTTGATTTTCTGATAAGAATGTACGACTCAACCGACCCACAGGACTCTGTCCCAACCAGTGCCGGAGCAAAGGTCAACAGAATCACCTGAGATCACATCTACTACACATCAGAGCACCACTGCAGAGACGTCCACCCCGACACAGCCGCAAATCAGAATCGATGGCTCATTTATGCATTATGGACCAGCTGGAAACCTGCAGTAAGTTTTACCTGTTAATCTGATATTAGCACTCAACAGTGTTCCATGTCTAAGTAAAGACATTTTGTGTGTTAACAGCACACAGCACAATTAATTTACCTTTAACTTTGGCAACTAAATGTTTCAATCCAGCAATCTGTCATATTTTACATTAGAACAGGATCTTCCAGAAAGCCTACACTCTCATCTTTTCAGGAAGTCTAATTTTTTGGGCCCTGCTATAAGCCAGTTCTCATCCTTTTAGCATTAGCATTGTCCTTAGCATTTGAAAAAATATAAAAACACACAATTTGTTGGAAAGCAATTTTTGGTGACTGACTTTCAATTGTCAGGCTTAAGTGTTGAAAGATTCTCTTGGCGATCAAAAAGACAACACAAAACTCCACACAGGTCTCCACACAAGATCTCGTTTATTTATTTCACAGTTTTGTTGTTGCAGCTGCCAATTAAACTGAATGTTACAATCTGGACATGATTATATGAGTTGTTTTACCAAGAAATCAAACAGAAGCCTTCGATTTCTCGGCACTGCAGCCTCTCCGGAGCAGCTTATTATAACTGGACAGTGAAACAAATTTTAGTTTTTGGTGTTTTTTAGTTAAACTCCAAGATGGATAAAGGGAATATAATAAGAGAAATCCTTTCTTCATCTCAGTCACTCTTTTTTCAGTTCATGTCGGTGTGTCTTCATTTGTCATATTTTACTTTTGTCAACAAGATAAACTAACCATTGCGTATCATCCATCCATTGTCTGTGTCCACTTACCCTTGCAGGATCATGGGGGTCTAAGCAGTGGCACACTCTATGTGAAGCTTAGGGGTGCTGTGCCAATGAGGGCACCAACATTTTTGGAGATCGTAATTTTCTTTGGTTTGTTTTTCATTTGAATTGTGTTGTTCCCTGATGACAGAGAGCTAAAGATGGAGAGACAGGAAAGAAAGCTCTTGGGGGCAGAAAATGTATGGAAGAGGAATCATGGTAGAAATGCCAAGACAGAAAATAAAAGCTTTTCAATGTGGTTGACAAACAGTAGCTAAGTTATTTCAGTCTGTCAACATGAGGCTTGTAAATATTAATCACTGTCTTTCAGCTGTGCTGCAGTTACAGGTGAGTCAGGGTTTGAGCCCTTCAAGGCAACACACAAGCATTGAGTATTTATAAGTGCTTTCAGTCTGTAATTATAATGTATCATTTTTACATTCTCTTTTCATGCAATCAGTGTCCTAATCCCCATTTCATTGAGTGACAAAAAATTTACATATATTGGGAAAGAAAAGTTTTGTGCTAATTTGTCAGTGCTTTGATGGCTCACCTGAAAGGAGCATTCCGTCAGTTCTGCAGTAGAGTCGTTTCTAATATAAAAACTAACCTTCCACCATTCCCACAGAGACACAAGACATGATGTTAAGGGGTCAGACTTCCTAGGTAAGAGCTTTATTTTCTGGGGATTATTTAAAGTGACTTTGGTAGAAAACAAACAAACAAAAAAACAGCAAAAATTCCAGAAGCGATTCAGCTTTAGTCAAATTATTTCATACTTTTTTGGGGGCAGGCTTACCATAATGACATCAATATGTGGCAAAAGGATTTGGCGCTTTTGTTTACTTGATTGCTTTGGTGGGAAACGGCACAGATTAATAAAGTGTCACAGATTTGTGTTTCTTCTATTTACTTGGCTGCAGTTAGTTGAGTAACTTTTTGGAAGAAATGCACTTTTATGAGTATTCTTCTAACATCATCCGTTTATTTTTACTTTACTAATATTATCAAGTATTGCTACTGTTACTTGAATAAAATCTTTGGCTGATCTACTTGCTGTAGTTAGCTTCACCGACTCAAAACAGACTCATGGAAACCTATACTTTGCTTCATAAATTTTACATACAATGTTTTTTTAAGTTTCTTTTGCCTACATTTGTTGTGTTATCATTATATTGTTTAGTTGTACTACTTTTTATTATTCATTTTAGTTTTGAAATACCATAATCTGCACATAACTGTATCATTTTTTACTATTTAGACAGATGTTATGATCAGTTTCCTCAGTATCACAGCAGCCTTTTAAAGAAATATTTAAAAAGAAATTACCTTTATGTGAGTAATTTCTTGGATGGCAACTTTTACACTTTTAGAAGAGTAAAAGTCTCATATGCTCTTTAGCATATGATAAAAAAATATGCCAAAGAGTTGCTTTTCATGCTTGATTAAATGTTTTCAGGCCTCTGCCTCAACTCTGGCTTTTAAACATTTTCAAGGTTTGCACTGATAAAATGACATAATCCCAAGTAATATTCAATATTAAAAGTTGTGTTTTCATTAAAAAAAAAACCCAGAAGCTAAGTCTAGAAATCATCAAAGTTTTGACTAATGGATCCATGATGTGTTCCAGTTAGTGGATTCAGTTACTAAAACAATAATACTTCAACAATTGAATGCGAGTTATTTATAGCTATATTTATTAATTTTTTCCCACCACTGTCTAAAGTTTCTGATTATCCAATCTAATTTTGTGCTTCTGAAATATGTTTTTTCTTCTCCAGACCAAGAAACATGCTTATATTGCATTTTGTTTTTATCAAGTTGTACAACTTCGTATTATATTTTTATTGCTTTTATTACAGGCCCTGTAAAGACAATGACTGCTATACACCCCTCTGGACTTCTGGTTACACATCTGAGTGTTTCTGCCATTGAAGAACCTTGTATTTTCTGCATGGATCTTGTGACGTGGAACAACTTTGACCCGAAGGACGTTCAGTTGGTGGAATTGACTATGCCATCATCCAAATGTCCCCCCTTCATCATGTAAGGTTTACACTCTGCTGTAACACAAGCTGAGCGATTACCATCACCGCTTTATTTTGAAATGTTTTCTATTTGCAACCTGTAATTTACACCAAGCGATGTGTCTTTTGCCTTCCAGTGTCATCCTGACTGATGGACGCCATATTTGTATGAATTCTTCCCACCCTGAGTTCCTTCAGCTCTTGGACAAGTTGGAAAATAAAGAACCTTACATCTGACACTTAATGTGGTAGACTTTACTATCTGTCTGTCTGTCTGTCTGTCTGTCTATCTATCTATCTATCTATCTATCTATCTATCTATCTATCCATCCATCCATCCATCCATCCATCCATCCATCCATCCATCCATCAAATAGATAGATAAGATATATGGTTGGGAAGCAAATACAGCATCATCATTAAATGTTAACTATTAGGTTTAACATTTTTGAAAACTGAAAAAAAGACTGAAATTAAAAACTTCATTTACTGCATGGCTTTATGGCTTTTCTTTTTGTTCCATGACTCAGCATGGTTATTCTTTTAAAGCTTGTACAGACATGTTACTAGAATGACCACCTAAACGTCTCAAAAGACGTCTGGTCAGTACACATGCAGTGTACTGACCAGATGTTTTAGTGGAACTTTGATTCAGTTTAAAGTAGAAAAGGATGTCAAAAGATCTTGTATAAAAACACCGCAATACGTTCTTGTCGGCATGAAGTCTGTTTTGTGATGTGAAGTTTGTCAAAATGAACCTTGCTCGATAAAGTGTAAGAGGAAGGAGGGGTTTTTTAAGGTTTAAACTTAGGTCATGTATTTCTGGGACTCTTATTGTGAAGTTAAAAAGGAAAACTTCCTGCTTTGAAGTGTTTTATTTACACATGTATTGATAGCCCTTGTTACAACAGCATGGATGAACCCCCGTCTTTTAGGCATGAGCTGCAGAATTAGACAAACCTAGATACAGTGGACTGTAGTTGAACCTATCTGTAGATTTTTCTGTGAAACTAACCCTAACCCCTAACCCTTGACCTTTGATGACCTCTAGAAACATTTTTCTTAATATCTTTAGAATGAAAATTTTTGCTGCACAAACTAGCACAAATGTAGTTGAGTTGATTGACACCTACTGTGATTGATTTTATGAAAGGGGCGGGGAGAGCTGGTTGACCTTTAAACTTTAATTTATATCTTCAAAGCCAAAGCTGCACAAACGTTTGACACCAATTTTGTCTGATTTGAAGAAGGAGTGGGAGAACGGGGGGGCAACTTCACTGAGGTCTCAAAGCTACGTCTTTCTCGGTCTCTGCATTGGCCAGGCTACGCGCAGACTCGTTTTCATAGCAACTGACAACGCCCCTAAAAAAAAACACTGAAATATTTTCCACACAGAGCAGAACATGTAGTACGTTGCAGTGGTATGGGTTTAGGCTTAATGTTTATTTTGTGATTATTAAGAAGTGATTGCTGTGGTAAGAAGAGAAAATTATAAATATATTGCTGCACTTGATTTCACTGTATGGCGAGCTCAATGTTACTGTCTCTTACTCTGCAGTTGTGGGATCATGAGCGCCCCCTGCCATGACGCAAGAGAACAGATTCAACTCATCTCGAATCGGATCTCTGCCGTTTCTGAGAGACGTGAGCTGTGTTTTGAGATCATCGTTTTCACTGACGAGGATCTGATATTCTGATTAAAGGTCTCGTGGTGTGAGATCATTTCCATCTTCAGAGCGCTTAATTCTGCTCGGAAGATATTCTACCATCCCCTTGAATTCCTTCTTTTCCTTTTCGAGTCTCAAGCAAAACTTAGCAGGGTCTTTTTTCCCCCAAAAAAAAGAACAAAAAAAGCACTGGAAACATAGATCGCCTTCTGTCATGTTTTGCATTTAACCAAACCGATCTTCTGCACTCTGAACAAAACGGGACGCTAAGAACAAATTTGTTGCTCTGAAATGTGGAGCTACAGGAAGATGGATCACAGTCATACTGGGGGATGTAGGAAAGGCTTTAGCCACTCAACCTCTCACAGCAGCCTAAGAAAGTGACTCACTTGCTCTTTGGTTACCTAGCAACAACCGGCTGAGTAACTTGCCAGCAGCAGATTCAGGTTTCGCCCGCGTCACTCATTACTACTTAACAATAGAAAGCTACTGAATGGAGTGAAAACTGTGGATGAAGCAGGAAAGTTTTTGAGTTTTTCTGATATTTAAAATACAAAAAACAAATAATCATTGACATGAACTGACACTAAACAAGCGTTTCATGTGATGTGTTTTTCAGCCATATTGTCCAGACCTAAAAAGAAAAAACGTAAATAAAATGTGATGTGCAGTAAAAGAAAGAAGGAAGAAAAAAGGGAATAACAAAGAAAAGGGTTAAAAAACAAACAAACACTAAAGGTCTAGCCCTGAAATGACAGTGGTTTGCTCCTCCCCACCCAACACTTTGATGTAACCTCAGCCTTCCTGAGCCTCAGCTCCTCCAGATGTTTCTCTAAAAGCTGTGATCCGTCCAGCGTCTGCTCCAAGTCCAGCAGCAGGTCTCTGTCCCCCAGCAGCCCACGGCGCTGGTTCAGTCTGGCGTTGGCTCTCTGTAGGCGGTTCCGCTCCAGCCTGGTTTGGGTCAGGACGTCCCTCCTCTCAGCCACCAGGACTTCCAACTCAGCCAACTGCTGCCGCTTTGCCCGGACCTCCGCCTGGCTCCAGAGCAGCTTCTCTCTGACGTTTGACAGGACCTGATGGGCGCAGCGGGTCGGCGCTGGTTAAGCGACTAACGCTGTGACACTGTCGGACCTGTCAGCTCACCTCCAGGCTGCTGCTGATCCTCCTTTGTAGCTTTAGGGATTCTTCTCTTTCCCTTCCCATCTGCTTCTTCCTCTCCAGCATGCTGGCCTGCAGCTGCTCCAACTGGACCCTCTGTGGGTCTTGGCCACGGAGCTCCACCTCCAGCCTCTGGATCCTGGACTTCAGCGAGAAGTGCTTCAGACGTAGCCTGGTCAGCTGGTTCTGCCGGACCTGCTCTGCTGTCAGCACCGCCTGCACTTTGGACCGGGCCAGGTCCGTCCCCAGGCGGGGGCTCAGCGCCGCCAACGCAGCATCCCGCTTCAGGCTCAGGAACACCTCCCACTCTGCCTCCACCTCAATATGTCACACAAGACATATTTATCAAATAAAACGTTTCCTTGTTGTAAAATCTGTGGTAAGTTCATTATTTTGCACAGGTTTTTCCTCTTGTCCTACTGATTGCTTGTTTTCATAAAAACATGTTTGAAATAAATGAATGAATATTTTCTGGACATATAGTGAAATTTTATAACACAATAAAATAACTATGTCACTTTCAGTTGTCAAAAAATGGTCCATATGTCAAATAGGGCTTCAAATAAGTTTTACTTCCTGATTCAATGCCTTAAAATTGGGCCATCAGTTTAAAAAACACTTTAACAAATTATTTTAAACATCAAATTTGTGATTTTCATCTGTTTGCCATAATCACTGAATTTACAACCCATAGAGGGTTGAAATATTTCATTCTATGTGTAATGAACCTATTTAATATGTAATTTATCAAACGAGTGACAAAGGACTTTGAACCTCCCCACGATTCATTTTTTGAGATGCAGCTGAAAACGATGACATCAAATGACTGCTTTGTGCCACCAGATGTCAGCAGATCCTACACATTAAAACACTAAACGTCATTTGGTTCGTTGCTGAATGAAACTTGAAGTTCTATCGTTCAAATTCTAGAGGGAGTCATCTGACCTGCTCCATCATCAGAAAACGAGAAATGACTGAGATATTCTACAAGAAAAATAAGTATTTTCTGACAAATAAAAATGAAAGTATGGGAACTGATGCTCTTACAAATATAACGTGTATTAAAAACACTCAGATGTATATGTCAGTGTGATTATATGGGCTTTTAACTATTCTCTTTCTCTCTGTTCTGTCATCCATTTTAAACATTTAGTGTAGTACCCTGTTCTTTATGACCTCTCCTCCTCTTTCTGCTGTCTTTCCTTCTCTCCTCTGATCTACCTTCTGATCTCATTTCCTTCCTGCCATGATCAGAAAAAAAATGAAAAATTCAACATATAACAGCAACATTAAGCTAGTTGTCTTCATATTCTTCACAACAGACAACAAAAAATAATTCTAATTCATTAGATATGCGTCAAAACATTGAACTCACATATGCAATAAGAGCTTTTTCTGGATATATTCACCCATCAGCCACAGGTTCATATCTAAAAGAGCTGCTAGTTTTCATTAAAGTCTTCAGAGTGAAAGCTGTGGGGAAACAGCTGAGTTTGAGCAACAATGGTCGCCTTTATAGCTGCTGTCGCCTCCTCCGCCTCTCTGGCAGAGATGAATCTGCACCTGCTCCAGACTTGGGAAGAACCACTGGGCTCTTTTAATCCGAGGGACCCAGAAATGTCTGCAGTTCTGGTAAAGACGGGCAAAAAGTCATCCTTACTTCGGTGCTAACTGGCATTCATGGCCTTCCAGCCTATCTTTGCCAGGGGTGCCTATAAATGAACATACTTAGACAGCTTTGAGTGCCTAACACCTAAAACACTTACGAGCTCAAATTCCAGGCAGCAGAGACAATATCCAGTAACATGTCCTGGATGGCATCATCAGTTGTTAGCCAGCACCGGTAATCCAAAACAAAATAAAACAGACATTCAACAGTATGCTTTGTAATTTCCTGAAATGTAGTTTTGCACCTCATATGTAACAGGATGAACACTTTCCAAAAATTATACTTTTGTCTGACCAGTTTATATAACTTAATCCAAAAAGTTGTTTTTTTTTTGTTTTGTTGAGGAAAGCGACAGCTACCAAAATAATTAGAACAAAAATTCATTTTACTGTCATTGTGCAAGAAAGCACAACAATTTAAAAAAGAAAATAGGAAATAGCGCAAATAAATACATTTAGATAAATATAAAAATATAATGGAGACACAGAAGCAACCGGGATGTGAAGAAATAACTAGATAAATGATGTTCTGCATTTGGATTCAAAAAGCTCTTTATTTTGTGTTTTTTTCTGGTCATGAGTGGTGTTGGCCTATAGAAATGCTTTTTAATATGTTTTAGCCTACTTTGTGTTGTCAGGCAGTTGATATCTTGATTCTGTCTGTGATCAAACCTGGATGAAATTGAACTCAACAATCAAATTGTGGTTAAACGGTGAACTCGTGACTTTACAGCAGGAGTCAATTACTTTTTTTCAATACACTTTCGCAGACACACTTTCCAGACACCAACCTCGCCCAGCTTGTCGCGGGCCTGTGACCTGAGCTCCTCGGCCTGCTGCTGGGCCGTCTGTGAAGCGGTGCCGAGCTGCTGCTTCAGCTCAGACAGGACCTGGACGGACCGCTCATACTCCCGAAGCTGCTCCTCCTCCCGCCTGCCTCTCCCCAGCTGGCCCCCGTCAATGGCTGTGTTGTGGAAGTATTGAGCCAGCCTCATCTGCAGCTGCCTGTTTAGTTTGCGGGCCTCGTCTCTCTGTGTGATCAGGTCTTGGAGGGAATCTTCGAGTTGGACTTTTTTGTCGGTTGTACCTTCAGCAGCAGCTGTAGAACCGTCTCCCTCCTGCGTGGGACTCTCTGTCTTTGGGGTGTCGAGGTTTAACCCCAAATATCGGCCACTGTTGCTTCTGTCGGTCTCAAAAATAACACTCTGACTATGTGACGTCGCGCGCTCGGAGTTGGTTTTGAGAGCCGTTGTGTGTTCTGACCCACCGGTGGCTGGTTCTTCAATAGAGGGGTCTGTTTTGACGTTCCTGCTGCTAGAAAGTTCTTCGTCGTGATCTGAGAATATAATGTTATCAAATCCCTTCTTTTTCTCATTGTCTTTCTCCATTTTAAGTTTTAAATTCGCCGAAGAATAGTTTAACTTGCCTAAAACTAAAAGGCTCGTGCAGTTCTGTAGTCGGTGACACTTTTCGTTTAGTTTGCGTTGCCCTGGAAACTGAATTCAGTAGCCAATCAGAGGCGTTCTGACGCTCTCCAATGAATATTAACAAGAGGAGTGTGAGAGTGGCTCGAGATGAGAGGTTCGTTGTGCGCATGCGCCGAGTGGTGCCTCCTACAACAAGAAGCAGCAGCCAGGCAAGATGGCGGACCTGGGGAAGAAGTACTGCGTTAACTGCCTCGCAGATGTTACCAACCTGCGGCTTCGCTGCACCGACTGCCCAGATATCGAGCTGTGCCCGGAGTGCTTCTCGGCGGGCGCCGAAATCGGCAACCATCGTAGATGGCACGGCTACCAGCAGGTCGACGGCGGGCTGTTCTCACTGTGGGGTCCAGAGGCAGAGGGAGGATGGACTAGCAGGGAAGAGCAGTCGCTGCTCGATGCCATCGAACAGTACGGCTTTGGAAACTGGGTACATCACTTTGTTGTCATTTAATAACATACGTTAAATAGCATAGAAACACCAGCAGACAGTAGCTAATGGCAAGAGTGCAACATCTCCAGCGGTTTTAGCGACGACATATGTCAAGTTTTAAGTAAACACAGACTGTTGTTAAACTTTACGAAATCTTAACAATGTTATTGAGAATTAAAAGCAAAGAGAGAATTTGAAATACTTTATTAGTAATGTTTTACCTCGTTTTAAAAGTTTTGGCAGTGTTCTGATTCCAGCCTTTACAGATTTTGGAGATGGTATTCAGAACAGTTAGATATTTTCTTACCAAATGAATTATGTTTATTTGACCAATCAGCATTTAATTCTCACCATTCCCTGTCCCTGCTTTATAAATACCACCACAATGTTTCAGTATATATACGGTTGTATAAAGAGTCAGTTTTTCTTCATACATAGCGTTGTGATGCAGATAGCTTATTAGTTTGTCAATATTTTTCTGATTGAATACTGACTTGTCAATTTTAACCTGGCATCATCACAAAGAGTCCCACAGGAAGCTGAAGCATGACTTTAAATAGACTTCTGCTTTGATCGGCTCACTGTGATGTAAAATCTGCATTACTTTAAACAGTCAAACCTGACTATGATTTCTCTTTATAGATGCTAGATTTCTTATTGTAGTGAGTAGCACTTTTTTTATGCCAATCACAAAAAGTGATTGTAATGTGTTTGGCATTTTGACAAAATTACCTGGTCAAGTATGGAAGATGTAAAGATGGAAACTAAATTGGATCAGCCAACTGAATAGACACAATTACATAAATATGTAATAAAAAAAATGTAAAAAAAAAAAAAAACGCTTCACAAATTGGAAGCTGGATTTTTATCTATTTAAGTGTAAAATAAATAAATTCAAGATCAATCACTTTGAATATTTTGGATTTTGAACTGGGTTAAAAGCGAATACATCAGCTGCATGTGATGCACATGAAACGCTTGCATGATTCATTTAAATTATTTTTCTACTTTGCTGCTTCTGAAGAAACTATTCATGAATCGGGTCTGTTGGCGTGTTTTGCTGAGGCGCAACACTACCCGCATGATACATGACCACAGCGACGGCATTGTTTTTGCTTTTGTTTCTATTCCCAAAACTTCCTATATTGCGTTGGTAAAGAAGGAAGAAAAAAAAAAGAAACTCTGTGGCTTGACATGTGTCTACAGAAACCTTTCAGAATGAATCGTTTAAGGCGTATTAAATTGTCTAATTAATGCTTTGTTTTGTACTTAGTTTGTGTTGAAATCTCATTTTATTCTTTGATATCTTTGACTAAACCAGATGTCTACATTGGTGTGGGCAATGAATAAATTAATGATCATGCTTAACTCAGAATTATCAAGTTATTTATTTACACACAGACTTTAAAAAAATAAATACAAATATCTACATATCACATAAATTATTTATTTTTTCAATTTTTGTATTACATTTCTAAATCTTAGTCCGGATTTTGTACTACAAACAAGCAAACGTGGGGTGAAAAAAATCCTTGAATATATGTGAGAATAAGAACTATTTAGCACTTATTTTTTAGGTAACTGTTTGAAAGTAACTGTCACCATAACCACAAATGCTGCTCTGGAATAACATATGCATGTGTAATATGCTTCTTCAGGACACCAGTCAGATAAAGAAGTCTGATTTATAGTCCTAAACTGTACACAGTAACTGCATTTAATCATATTTTCATATTTATTGATACTTTCGTTGAACAAATAGTGGAGAAACAATCCCGACAATACAGTGTTTCTTTATTTAACATCAACAATTGGAATTTATTGCAACAATAAATCAAATATAATTAGAAATGTATCACAATAAATGATAAACAATGTGATACAATAAATGCGCACTCCTGCAGCCTGTCATTATTTACATGATCCTCTTAATAACTTTGACCAAAAACACTAACGACTCAATCCATTAATCAATTACAGAAAATGCTATATTTAGCAGTTTTTAAATGTTTTCAAACAGTATACTCATAAAATTTCCAAAACTAAACACTACAGGTGTAAGTAATCTTTTTTATGAAGTATTTTGTGTTAATTGGTTGTAAACAATGTCCTAAAACAATGCATATTTTTAACCTAGCCAAATTTACTGCCCAATATTACGACTTGTATTATATCAACGGATATATAAATATACCCGTTGATATATAACTTTTTGTATGTGCGTGTGCTTACACAAATGTGAATCTCTCTCCTGAAGGAGGACATGGCCGCACACGTCGGACCTTCCCGAACGCCGCAGGAAGTCATGGAGCATTACGTCACCATGTACATTCACGGTAACCTTGGTAAAGCCTGCATCCCCGACAGTATTCCCAACAGAGTAACTGACCACACTTGCCCAAGTGGGGGGCCCCTATCACCCAGCCTCACCACCCCGTTGCCCCCGTTGGACATAAGCCTGGCTGAGCAGCAGCAGCTCGGCTACATGCCTCTGCGTGACGACTATGAAATCGAGTACGACCAGGATGCAGAGAAGCTCATCAGCGGGCTGTCGGTTAACTATGACGACGAGGATGTGGAAATCGAACTAAAACGTGCCCACGTAGACATGTATGTGCGCAAGCTGAGGGAGAGGCAGCGGCGCAAGAACATTGCCCGTGACTACAACTTGGTGCCTGGGTTTCTTGGCAGAGACAAGAAAGACAAAGAGAAAGAGAAGCCTGGAGGATTGCAGGTCATAGGTGGTTCTGTCCCTACGGGTGTATCGGGAGCATGCAGCGCCACAGTCGGACCAGCCTCCACGATGACGACGGTCTCCGTCCCCATCCCGAGCACACCCAAAAGAAAGATTACAAAGGAGGAGAAAGAGCAGCGAGTGAGGCTACGGGCGCTCTGCCAGTTTATGGCCCATCGGGAGTTTGAAGAGTTCTTCGAGAATATGCACAAGGAACGGGTGCTGAGGGCCAAGGTGCGCGAGTTGCAACGCTACCGCCGCAACGGCATCACGCGCCTGGAGGAATCCGCAGAGTACGAAGCCGCCCGTCACAAACGGGAGAAGCGCAAGGAGAACAAAAACGTGGTGGCCTCCAAACGCGGCGGGTCAGGAGGGGCCGGTCTCGGCTCTGGGTTGGGACTTGGCGGTGGCGGGGCAGGCGGAGGAGGCGGCGTCACGGTGGGGCTCGGGGTTGGAGGCGGGATCAAGGAAGAGAGCAAAGATGGTGAGTTTGCCGCCATCGAGAACTTGACAGGGTTTGAGTTGCTGTCAGATCGGGAGAAGGTGCTGTGCAACTCCCTCAACCTGAGCCCAACACGCTACCTGACTGTCAAAACCATCATCATCAAAGACCACCTGCAGAAAAGGCAGGGTATTCCGGCAAAAAGCAGACTGCCTGGTTACCTGGACAAGGTTCTCAAGAAACGCATTCTCACCTTCCTCACAGAGAGCGGCTGGATATCCAGAGACGCCGCGTAGCGATCCGTCTCCGGTCGGTAATCACAAGCCGATGATCACCGGTAGCCGTCTAGCTTCACGCTCTGGAGGCTGAATGGAACTACTGCCTCTCAACGACTACTTTTTCTAGTTCTTATTTTTTTCACCTTGGGAATATGTACAATTCAAATAAAAAAAGATGCCCCACTTAAATAATAACTATATTTTCATACGAGTTCTAGGAACAAAAGCTTAAAAAAACATACTGGGCTCAAGGATGTCCAGCACCTTTTGAGTTTACTATTGTGTGCTCCCCGCTACAATTCTTGATGAATAAATTATGGTATTTTGCATTTTGGGATTTATTTATCTCAAGTGTCACTCCTAAGCATCATTGTAAAAGGTGAAAGAACGAACGAGTGACACCTATTTCATACTGAAAAATAAGAGTGTTCCACTCAAATGATGTTTGAAACCACATGTTTGCTGAGGATCCTTTGTGATGACCTTTTTGTTTTCACACTATATTTGAACCAATTCACAGAATTCCATTCAGTTTCATGCACTGGTACCGTCACGTTGTTTTATCAATGCTACATTAGCACCAAAGGGGTAATGAATGGTTAGTAGACTAAAGAAAAATGTATTGCAATCATCAAACGAGAAGCTTAAAGTTGAGTGTTGTCCAATAGCGGACACCGCCAATGTTCCTTGAAGTTCCAGCTGAATTACTAACCGGCAGATTGAAAGTATTTTGATAAGAATAGTGTGTTAAAAATGGGGGGGAAAGTAGGATGCAGAGTTGTGTTTAATTCAAACCCGCCGACGTCTGGTTAGTGAGTTTTATTTGCCTTCGTCAAGAGTGGACACTGTTGTGATTTAAGGTGTTGTAGAAACGCTAAAAGGTTCCCTAGAAATTTCACCCTAACGCTACCAGTAGGGTTGTTAAAATACAAAAGTGCCTAAACCTAGATCAGAGAAGAGCATTGCCTTGATTCCAGTCAGCGGTTCGTTACACTAGTTTATGATTTAGCGTATTCCGGAAACTTTTCCACCGCCAATTGGACTCTAACTTGGAGACACCTTGCATTGTGACATACTAATGTGACGACAAACTTGACAGATTGGTACGCATCGTCCTTGACGCAAGCGATAATGTCCTATTTCCCCCAATGAGTAGAGAGTGACAGTAATAGCTCCACCCTAACCATACCGTATAGTTCTCCTGTTGACCCGGAGAATGGACCTGGGGCCCAGGAATGATGTGGTTCTGGTCGGTTGTAGGAGTCTTTTTTACTATGGAAACAAAATAGTGAACCGACCCATGCCATACCGCTTAATAAAAGTGAGGCATGAGTGTAAACACATTTTATAACCTGCTACATTTTCTTTCGCAGGTGGTTTTAGAAGACAGAAACTAAAAGACTTGTAAAAGTCCTGTATTGTCACAGAGCCAAACCTACTGGTATCCCTGCTATCAATACTTCATACAGACTCCCTGTTCCCAGCAGGACAGGGCTTTATTTCCTAAGACAACAAGAATAGAGAAGAGACACAGGGATTTTGACTAGATCAGCTGTTTCCTAGCTCTTCTACAAATTTAGGGTCTAGAAACTTAAACGGCCAAAAAAGAACATTGACTTTGGGTGTCAATGTCTAATTAAACATCACACCTTCCCATTTTACTGGCCTCATTTTATCTAAAGTTGCCTGGTATTACATGAGGCAACCCTTTTCTGACAAGGTTCCTTGGATCTTTAGAAAGCCCACAGAACCGCAACCGCATTCTTAACGTTGTCGTCCCTCGTTTCCTGCCAAAGTTTCTAATATGTCAAAAAAGCTCAGAGTCTCGTCTGACCAAAGTACACAATTTTAACAAACTCCCCAATTTTCCTTTTTTAGTAATACGGTAGAAATGTGTTTTTTTTTTTTTTTCTGGTGGCAACTGGTTGCCACTGAAAAAATCATTTTAAGTTTTTTTTTTTTTTGTGCTTATATTTGCTGTGAGGGGTATTTATCTGTACAAGGAGAAATTGGTTAATTTAGCTCGAAAACCTTTCTTGAAAGGCTTTGCGTCTTGGATATCCTTTCTACTACAGCCTGTTATAAGGTTATAAAAAAAAAAATAATGTACTTGTTCTCTAAACCCAGAGAAAGATCCTCTGCTTCTCAGCTTGTGCATTAAAACCATGTGTTCCCTTCTCCCAAAGTCTCTCATTCTGAGGCCAGAACCTGAACAGCATTACCAGATACTTTCTTTCCACATCACTGCTCTTATGTTGGGTTTCCTCGTTTGTTTAATTCTACTTTAAAGCTAAACTGACTCCATCTTTCTTGGACATGTTTCTCGGATCATCCAGCAGTTGTTAGAAAGAAAAGGAGAAAATGTGAGTTGATCGTGGAACATCTGTTTGCATTTGTTGTTAATGTTTGCCGTGGCAAAGGAGGGTTGGGGATCATTTGTCCTTGTCATTTTTGAGCATATCCCCTGGCTGTAATGAGGCTGTAGAAGTTCTTGTGATACAACAATCAATGTATCCAAGTAGTGAATGTATTTCTGTCGAAGGGAACATGAAGTGTTCAAAATAAGATCCTAACCAATGTTTTTATCGTCTCATATGGGCAAATTTGACAATGGAAGTCTTCATATGTGCTGAGGCGTGTCTTTCACGCAGGCTACTGGGTGTGGAACTTTATCTTTTCCAGACATACCCTGAGACCAGTGAGACTTTCTGTCCTCATTTATATTTGTCCTGAAACGGTGTTGGACTTAAAGGAAACACTGGTTAGAGGTAGAAAAATCTAAATATAGCATAAATGTTTTATGTTTTGAACACTTTGTGGAGGCGTTCGTTTCCAGTTGGTGACTGAAAGCTTGAAATTGAAGCTGTGTGATTTCATTTTTATCTTTTTTTTTTTCAGCATTCAGTCAGGATTTTTTAGAAAAAGTCCTAAAAAGGGTGTCTATGCGTACTTATTTGAACCAAATGTAAATAATTTGTAAGATAAGAAATGTGTAATGTACAGTATTTTGTGTTGTGCAAATTTTTATAGGTTTTGTATTAAAAACAGAGTTTTGACAAAAAGAATGCTTTTCTTTTTCTTTCTTTCGTCTTGTTCCATGTATTGGTCTCACATCGCAGAGCCGTTTTACTTCTCCAGTGCTAATTAATTTAATATTTGGAAATGGGGAGTAAATCTAATGTTGACGCTGTTGAAGCACACTCGGAGAAGGATTAAACAGGAAGTGAATGAGATCTGCATGTCGATGAGGTCCTTTTGGCGACAATGTTTTCCTTCACAAAGAAAGAAATCGGATTCAGATTCTGCTGGTACCACCTGGTGGTAGAAAGAGGAAGTGATGGGAGATGTTCGTACCTTAACTTCCAAAACATTCATTACTTCTGACTCAAAAGCGCCAGAAAAATCCACTCTGATGTGCTTGCAGCTATTTAAATGAGCACAGGATGTTCTTTGTGGGCACGCCAACTGCATTGCTGGAGGAGGAAAAGAACACCATGCGCACAGTGAAGAATGGTGGCGCCGTTCCTTCGGCTCTGGAAAACTGTGGCTATGGAGAACAAGATGGATTCAGTCGAGTATCAGGAAACCCTGGGAGACACTGTAATAGCAGTGAGGAAGAAGAAGCTGGGGTGTGTTTGAAATTCCAAAGATTACGATAATGTAAAGAGCATCTCAATGTCCACTAAGGCTTGATTTCAGAAGTCCTAAACAATTCTGCAGTCTAAACGATTCATAGCCATTGTTTTCTTGGGATTCTGTTGTGTCATTTTTTAAAACAGTGGTGTGGCATGCAGACCATTCCTCAAAGACAATTCTCATGTGCCAGTACTTCATAATTAGTCCTCTTGCCTCGTCATTGAGTCGATCCGTAAGCATGGCAAATTACTAGTCCAAGTTTATTTTTTTGTTTATTGCTGGCTTGTACGGTTTGCCAGTGGACCCAGTTTGCATTGGGGGTCAACTCCTGTTTCTTGCAACCACAAGGAACAGCAATGAGTCCCATGGTTAAAGTGTTTACAAGTGCAGTTCTGCAGTCAAGTACAAGATTTAAAAGTTTGATAGTAAAGTTTTATTATATTATTTTTACTAAGGCATGTGGCATGAAGCCATGGCTTTTACAGATGGGTGAACAGCTAATGTGGATTATGTTTGAAGGATAATACAACATAAAAGAGAGGGGGAAGTACTTTTTGGGGTGATTATTGATTATTTGATTGGATTGGATTAGATTATGCTTGTTCATATGAAGTGGCCTTTAAGACAGACACTTGAATCCCATACAGCGCCATATGTCACAATTGGCAACCCTGGAAATGATAAATACGAATAAAAAAAATGTTTTATTGCATAGTCTTAAAGAACACAAGAGAAAAACATTTAAATTTAGAAACCCTTTGTTTTGATTAATTGCTTCCAAAATCATTTAAATTAATTTACATGTTATAGACCACATGTGTCAAACTCAAGGCCCAAGGGCCAAATCCGGCCTGCCATAGCTTTTTATGTGGCCCTCAAGACTCCATGTTATAGCAACAGGCCCCTCCAGTTTTTCACAAATAATAATTCACACAGAAATCAACAACTCCTCACATTTTCTTCTGATTTTATCAACATGTTTTGTCAAAAATTAGCCAAAAACATTTAGGTTCAAGTGACTGCTGTTACTTGATGGCAAGTTATAGTCCACGACTAATAAAAGGTCACATTTAACATAATATATTAGCACAAATATTGTAAAAATTCCTTACAAATATTTCTAAATTAGCTCCACTTAATCTGTTATGTTGATTGCAGAGAATTACAAGCACAATCCTGGATGGACTGAATAGTGTGAAAAGATGTTCAATATTATGTTATTTTATGTAACAGTTATTGAAAGCTGAAACGTGTATTTATTGATATTTTAACAATTGAATTGGTTTTCATCAATACATTCTGCGCACCCGGATGATTTACATCGAGAGATTCAACGATTGACGTCCCTCCTGCAAAAAGAAACCATGCGCAGGAGAAAGGACAATCAGAAACTGGCCCGCCTAGAGGAAGAACTGGAAGAGATGGATTTCCAGGTGAAAAAACATGAACTGAAAATGGGGTATTTTGATCAGGCCATGAAGGCAAAGCAGGATCTTGAACGACTACAGCGTTTCTGTGATCCAGAAATTCTTAAAGTCTTGGCCATTACTTCCCAGGCTGGGATAGAAGATGAAGAATTGAAAGCAGCAGTAGCTAAAATTACTGCAGAAAAAGACAACAGCAAGGCTCTCAAAGAAGAGCTAGATGATTTAATGATATCGAATGAGGTGCTGCACTCCAAGTATGAAATGGACATGGCACGGATGAAGCAGGAGGTCAACGATAATAAGCAGCTGATTAACAGCATAATAGCTGAGAAGGAGGAGATGCACCAAAAAGTAATAAAATTAACTCTCCAGATTGAGGAGAGAAAATTTCAAAATTGAAGGAGGAGAAGGAACTTTTTGAGAATCTTAGAGCAGAAAATGCCGTACTAAGAGAAACAAGGCAAGAAATTTGATTCCTGCATGAGAAATTATGTAGTGCACAAATTGAGTTGGAGAAAGTCAGCATTCACTGTGACAACTATGTGACTGAACTGAAACGGCAAGCAGACCAAAACCATCAGAACAACAGGAAACATGACTTCCAAACATCTGAAGAGGAGCAGCTGCTGCCCGACACGATGAGTGATAGCAACGATAACAGCGAAGGACCAACCTCAGTTTCTAACGATGAAGAACAGAAGACTGAAGACGACCCGGTTGAAGAGGTGCGTGGAGAGGTTTCTTCCGTGGAGAAACTCCCGGAAGAAACCTCTCCAGGCTTTTCTAGTGGTCCAGAAGAACCACTAGAACAGCCATTGAAGAAACCAGAAACGGACATGATTGAAGAAACCAGCCGGGAAGACCTTGAAGATATTGACATAAAAGGATTAAAGAATGGAAAGAAAAATAAATCAACATTTTGGAAAACGGTGAACAATATATTTGGATTGAAGAAATAAAAAAATAAAAAATAAAAAGAGTAAAGACAGCTAAGAAAACATTTAATGTTCCAGCTATCGATATTTAGAGACAGACGGAAAAACGTGGGCAGCACGGTGGCGCAGCGGTTAGCGCTGCGTCTTCACAGAGACCATCTGTGTGGAGTTTGCATGGTCTCCCTGTGTTTGCGTGGGTTTTCTCTGGGTGCTCCGGTTCCCCCCACATCTCCTAAAACATGCAGGTCAGGTCAGTTGGTCACTGTAAATCGCCCCCAAAATACTTCGAGAAACTCCAAACATTTGTGCAATTTTATTGTTAAACTTGTAAAATTAATTGAACTCACCGTACATTAGACATTTTCACTTTGCTCGTTTAGTGCCGCAATTTTAATAGCAACGTATTGATTTAAGAATTGAAATGTCTTCGCTTGACAGACATGATTTCTGCTTATGTTCATTTTGTGCTTTTATGGTTTATCCTTTAGTTTTCCCTTTTCTTCTCGCTTTTTATATCAAATTGCACTGAATTGCAGCCAGTTATACTTATAAATGTAAATGTAAACAGAGTTTAACACATTTTATAAACAGTTTAACTGTGTATAAACTGTGTATAAGCACAGCACTAGCCAGCAGATATTGCACAATCAGCCTGTTTAAATTCTGTGTGTGCTCGGTATTGATGTCTTCGTCGATCTCCAGGGCTTCAGCGAAGGTTTCGGGAACTTTGTTGCCCACAGCCGCCTTCAAGTCCTTCACGGTGCAACTTTCCTTGTGGAGACTAAGCAGAACGTTGCATGTAAACAGCTCCAAAATGTCTCCAATAGTCTCCTGCAGAGCACAGGTGGTGCTGGGTTCTGGGTTTCCATTTGCCAGTCCCTGGCTCTCCTTCAGCTTGAGGTTTCTGAAAAACGGGTCGACCGCAGGCATCAGGGCTTCCAGGCTGACGGTCTGGGTCTCTGTGAACTCTGTCTGCTTGGCATGATTACTTCTCAGGTTTGAAGAGTGCAAAGTATTCAGTTTGTTCCTGAAAACGGAACTCGGTATATCGGTATATCTCACTGAGAGATGATGACGTTACCGCGAACAAAACCAAATTAATTCACAATAACTGGAATATTTATCAACATACTTGATGAACGATATTTGTGTATTTACTTAGCAATTTGGATGAGAGCATTTCACAATATGTAATGTTTCATAATTGGTACAAGCTTTTATGGTATAAAGCAGTTTGAAGTGCTTTGTTGCTTAAATGTTCTGTTTAAATACACTTGACTCAAAGTATTGAAATACATAATGAAGTTATAGTGCAGGGGAATGTACACCTTATCTTTCTTTTCTTTTTCGCTGAGGCTAAACTAACCATGTCCTTTCCTTCTCATTTGTAGTGTATGTCCTAGTTTTATTTGTAGTGTGGAAACAACCAGGATCAAAAGCAGAGTTCTGTTTGGGCTTGGCATGATTATGCCTCCATATGTCTGTGTGTGTGGCTCAAAGTGGAATCAGGCGTACAAAAGCCACTCAAGAGGGCAGAGCCTGACCGACTGACCAGGAACAAGAAACTCTCCCAATGGAGACTTCATCTAGTTGCATTGTTTTTTATTTTCCAAAACATTCAATCTTTCAAACTTTGAACATTTTCTTAATGATGCTGATATGGTTTAAATACCGATGCCAGCCATGCATTATAGATTTTACCTAGATATTATCTAATTCTCTTCCTGTGTTTGTTCCAGTCCTCTCCTGTAGTAGATCTACAGACCATGCGCTGAACTGAACTGCAGTGCTCTTGTATGAATCACAGCTTCTACTGTTGCTCCTTTCCACTTGTGTACTGAGGCTCAGGCTCTTGAAGTCAAAATAAATAAAAAGAAGTCACATTTCAGTTACTTTAATCCAATACAGATATATTGGTGAAGGTCAGATCAATCCTACATGCTGATATAGTGGTGGGCACTGATAACTAAAGCACTAATCATAAACAGCGCTACACCTTATTTAGCAGAAGCTAAATCTACTCCACAAATTTCAATTCAAATATCTGTCTCTAAAGGAGAACCAACACTCAAACGCCAATTTAATTTTGACATCATTCACTTCCTATAGCGCTCTAGATATTTTATTTATTGCTATGTGTTGTTCTGTAATGTGTTTTATTTTGTTCTTGTATGTTTACTTGAAATAATGCTTTTTGGGGATTTAAAAAATAAATAAAATCAAGAGGTGAGCTGAGGAAACAGAATCACTACCTAAACAGTTTTTGCTCCCTTCAAAATAAGAGACTGACTTGGATTTTTTTTTATCAGTAAATAGCCAAAACGTCAGAGATGTTTAACTTTCATCTGACAGTTTGCCTATTACACTTTAGAAGTTATTCAGAGAAATTGAGCTAAGGGAACTAAGTTTTCAAAGTTTGCAAAAGTCCTAAATAAGAAGTAGCGATGCTTTTAGCACATTAGCGTAAGTGTGCCCACGACTGCAGGTATGGATCAATATTATTATTACTATGAAATGAGCTATGTTGCATCCCTGCCTGAAGCTGGTTTATTAAGTTGCCAAATGTTTTGATTTTACTGAAACTGCACAGGGATCTACAACCCGTTTCCGTCACATCTCTTTTGCTTTAATTCAAGGATGCAGTTCAAACTTCTAACACTAAAAGACAAACGATTAAAACAGAAGTTTGGAATGACACCAGCAGCAGAATGGGTTCTACCCCTCAGGTATAAACTCAGACCCAACATGCCTTTATTTAAAACCTCAGGTTTAATGATGTTGGCCTGCTCTACACTGTGAAAGCTTCTTGTAACTTTGTGTTTCTAACAGATCCTGAAAGAACGCAAACCACAACGATGATGACAACTTATTTACTGTACAGGCCCGTCTACTGGAAGAGGTTTAAAACTGCTGGACGCTGTCCCCAGAGTTTGTGTTGCTGGTCCAGTCTCAGTGTGAAGACAGTTTTTGTGGGAAATGACCGCGTTGCTTTGGGCGGTCCGCCAAGTGCGTCGTCTTCCACTGGCAATGCTGCCCTGCTTCGTTACGCCAATCGGTCCTAGGAAGCCTTGGCCACGCCCACCAATGCCGGCCTCAGGGTTCGACCGTGCAGCTTATAGCCCACTTTGGTCACCACGGCGACGGTCCCGGGCTCCTTGCCCTCCACAGGGGCGTGGAAGAGCGCCTCGTGCTCGTAGGGGTCGAACTTCTGGCCCTCAGGGTTGAGCTTGAGCAGGCCGTGCTTGGTGAAGACCTTCTGGATCTGGACCTCTGTCATCACCAGGCCGTCGTACAGGTTCTTCAGGTGAGGGTTCTGACTTGTCACCTCCTCTTTCGGGACGCTCTCCGTGGCCTTCTCCAGGATGTCAGCCACCTCCAGGAGGTCCTTACAGAAACCCTGAATGCCTGGAGAGAATGGAGGAGGTTTGAACAGCTCCTGGCTTTAAAATATGTCTATTTACTCTTTTAAAAGCTTGAATTATAGAAACCTGACCATGTATTGGACAATAAAAGGCCCTTAAGTGTAATATTAGAACTATGCAACACATTCTAAACCAATCTGGCCACTTCAGAAACAACAAGAGCTTTTGTTGTTCATTTGTGACATCTAGTGGTTCATATTGGTAACTGCAAAAATATATATCTGGCTTTATTTCAGGGGTTCCCAAACTCTTCCATAATCCCCCGACCCCATTTCCAAGGCAACAGAAAAAGCTGCAAAATATGTAAAGAAACAACATTTTTAGAATATTTTTATTTAGTATTCCATAATTATTACATTCATCCCGTACCGTCAGATTCTAAATGACGGAAGATTTAGTTTTCAAATAAAATTTTTGTCACCATCCCGTCTTTTGATTATACTAAAATATGTGATTTTATATTAGTCACATTAAATGTGATTTTATGCCAACAATTTTTATTTTATTTGTTTGTCGGTTTCTTTGGTCCTTTTTCTCATCAACGTTTTAATTTCTTTACAACTTGAGGAGCAAAGCAGTGTGATGAATTTGACTGGCAATGAGAAAACATTTAAATCATACTTTTTTTTTAATTAATACAAGTTTAATAAAAAATTTGGTATTAAAAAATTTGAGATTCACACATTTCGGAGGGTTTTTTTTTGTTTGTTTTTGAATGTTTTTTCTTATCTCTCCAACATTCTGAGACCCCTACAGCGCCCTCTGGAGGCCCCCCACTTTGCAACACACCATAAACCAGAGTTTTTCAAACAGCTTTGATCAAAAAATGTTTTTACCGTATAACTTGGCGTCCTCCACCATCCGTTGACTCCTGGTCCTCAGGTTTTCTGTATCTGCTAGAGCTCTCTTATACTTTTCCTGCAAATGATACAAAGGGGGCAAAGAACAATTGGCTGCAGGGGAGTAAATTTCTACCAAAAACAAACAAGCAAAAAACCTCTCTGGAAGTTTCGGATTTCAAGAAAAAAAAAAAAAAAAAACTTGGATATTCTCTGCTATCAAAAAGAAAAGGAAATTTCATGATTGAAGGAATAAACGTATAACACTACAGATAGGACATTTTCTAACAATGTATTTTCAGCAATTTTTAAGGAAAATAAATTTGAATTTTTGCTACAAAAAGTGACCGAAGATACTAAATTTAGGTGAAGTGCATCTGGATATTCTTGTTTATCATAATGACATCTGCCATGCATTCTAGTGGCAACATCAGTAAAATTACCACTGGGAAATTATGGATTATAAATTGTAATTTCTTTCTTTGAAGGGTTTACAACTTCGTGACATCTCAGAACCCTGATAGTTTTCTTGGAAATGTGTGAATTTAATCTACCGGTAGATATATGGCAGAAAATTATTACATTTTTTTTCCTTGTCTATTATCTACGGTGGTCGCAATGAGCCATAACCCACTGCAGATAACCAAAAATAGGCTAAATAGAGAATGTGTTCTTTGAATATACAAAAAAGGTAATAAGCGGTCAATAATACATTCAACACAAATAACATATTTGCACTTTTTTCAGCTCTGACGCGTTTCTTTTGACAGGAGCTGCTTTTCACTGATCATAAAGTTACCCAAATCAGTCACAAAAAGCCGCCCAATTAAACAACGCCAATGTCAAGAGAAAGAAAAATCTTTGTTTTTTGTTTTTAATTGCACCTGAATGAGATGGGTTTTCGACTGAATCAAAACGAGAACAACCAGCTGCTACTACTGGCAGAAAAGACAAAGAAAAGACGACAGGAAGTGGTAGGAGGATGATGGCGAAGCATGTTTTTAAATTACTTATTACTGAACAAACATGTTCACGACTGGATTTCATTTCAGTTTCTTATTCAATGGAAACACAGCAATTCACATTCGTAAAATATCAACAAGGTTTTGTGTAAATTTGTAATGGAAACGCAGCTGGCAAAGAAGCGGAGCTCGCCTCATCTGCCCATCAGGACAAACACATAGGTAGATGAGCATGCTGACTCTTACCGTCATCTCCTTCAGCTGCTCCTCCAGCTGGACCTTCTCCTCGGTAAGGACCTTTTCTGCTGGGCTCTGCTCCGATTTCTCAGCCTCCTCCTCGGAGCTGGGGCCATTCTTCTGCTGGGTGGCAGTGCACAGCAACCTCACAGGTGCCCTGCAACGGAAGACACAACAATTACATCACTTACCTTTAGATTCCATCAAGGCAGCTTAATACAGACTAAACACACCGACAAATCAGTTACGTAAGTAACCTCGCCGCCTCTGCAGTACTAGACAATTTATGTCATCATCTCTCAACAGCCAATCAGATTGCGTCGTGACATGACGCCTGGCTTCATTCATAAACTCCTAACTGGCTGGATAATGAAGGCAGCGTGAAACCGAATTACAAGCACACCACGTAAAGCTAAGAAAAACAGAAGCACCATGATGGAGCGTGTACCAGACACACTTTAAATAGCTTCACCTCATTATGTCATCCCCATTCCCCTTCGCCAACAATGTCAGCGATAATACGGCAGTCAGTCTTTAAAGTGGCAGCATGTCCGCATATATAGCAAAAATAAATATCTCCTGCGTTAGTTAGTATTCCTGTAAAGGTCAAGAAAGAAGTCTGAAGAAGGCAGGGCAAGCTGACCGTGCTAACCGGTTCCCACCATGAGCTCTGAGCTGCTGCCAGCGGCGGAACTTTAGGTCAAACCGAGCCCTGCGGGTCTTCCTAAGTCTCAGCTACATAATAAAAACGCAGCTCACCTCTTCAGCGTCGGGGACACTAACACAGAGTAGCTCTGCCTCACCGCTCGGACACACCAGCTCGCCATTTTCCGAATGCACAGAAACACACGCTGACGACTTGCGTAAGCTTGATTCCGTCACCGAGGTGGCTTGAACCAATCAAATTCGAGTACGAAGAAGGACTCGCTCTCAGTTGACCAATGGGAAGTAGGTAAGATTCTGACGTCTTAGTCAAGTGTGGTTGAGTTTGAGTCAAAGGTCAAGGCTCCACATGTGACCAAGGACAGATTTTCAAAGTTTTATAAATTATAAAATAGCATTTTGTGTTTTATAAAATTATAATTTGATTTTCCACTTCAGTGAAGCCTTCTTTGGTAGGCGTGATGACGTCAGCTGGAAAAATTTCTGTTGGAAATATTGCATCATAATGGTGCAATAATATGGAAGTGTTACATTTTTTTTTTTACCTAAACACAATTTATTTTAGAATAATCTTTTACAATAATCTTCATTTTTAAACATGGCTATCAATAATTAACTTTTCATCTCACCATTTATGTGTTTGTGTGTCAAAATGAGAAGAAAGAAATGTCAGATATAACTTTGCTCATAAAAATGTTGTATTGTTTCAACAACAGAACAATTAAGTGCTTCGTTCAGTGTGACACCATTGGCGATTACAATATGCAATGGATTTGAACTGATAATTTTTTTATTTTACATTTGTTGCGGCTCAGGGGGCCGCAACAAAAAATAGGAAGGACACGACAACCAGAATAATTTTCCATCCCTTCAGAGGCATTTATTAAACGTTACTGTCCAGGGAATAATTAGCGGCAGCCCAAGATGTCCCCTATCAGCCTGATCCTCCCCCAGTCATGGACCCGGTTGGCCCCCACAGGTTTCTGCTCCCAACCTCCACAAGGTGTCAAGCGAGTTTCTCTCCATCCAATCTGAATCTACAAAAAAACAACTTGATCTAAATGTGTAGAATATCAAAAACAAATACCCTAAAAGCATTCATAAATGCAACAAAGTGGTGCCTTCAAAAAGTATTACTTCAGGTAAGGCTGAATCCACGTTTCTTTTATTTATTTATTTTTTTCATTTTTAGAAAATAACCTGCAATATTCTGACTCGTTGATTTGTTATGATAAATTGTCAAGTTTGTGAAGGATTTAAAAAAAAATTTAACAGTGTGAAAACCTTTGAAAACGAGTTACATCTGAAGCTACATTTATATTAATATATTGTATTTACACTCAGCTTTTTTCTCCTGTGACTGTGTTTGTTGCCTTGGAGACTTTCCCCCTTTTTTTGTCATAGTTCTTCTTGTCAGCATTTTTTTTTTTTTTTTTTTTTTTTTTTTTTTTGCCCAAGATATGATACCATTTCTAACTGTTTTGTTTGCTAATTTATATTCAACTCAGGCACCACACTCAAGGCAATTCTCAAGGTTTTGCTGAGCGCTGTACATGCTAATAAATGAAAATATATACATAACAAAAGTGGGGTCATAGGACTTTTGGCAAAGAAAGATAGCTTTTGGTTTGCTTCCTTTCTTGGTATGAAATTAGTTTATGAATGGTCAATCTTTGGAGTATTGTGAAGTTTAACATCTCCTCTGGTGTGGTTTCACTTTTTTTCTGTCAGTGCTGCCCTAAAGAAACAGGGAGTATTTCAAACCATTCCTGCAAAACTAAAAAACTAAATTATTTTGGATTCTGGCTGCAGCATCTTTTTTGTCCATGCATGATACATAAAAAGAAAAGAAAGAAAGAAACGATGTTCTGAATGTTCCATGCACATTGTTGGCCCTCTGTGTTCTTTTTCTCCTTTCCTTTCAGCATTTCTCCCCGCTTCCCTATATATTCTTCCAGGTGCTCCACCTATTCAGTCCTGCTCTCTTTGCTTTTTCAGTCGGAGTGATGAATAATCCCGAAGCAGAGAGCAGAGCTGCTGGATGTGAACACCGCGATCTTTGCCCGGTCGCAAGTCTCTCTCAGAAGGGTGATTACATATTCAAGTCTTGTCACGTTACACCTTCCATATTCCTGCAGACTGAAAGGCAAGTCTTTGAAACCTTTTCTGTTTCACTTTACTTTCAAATAACGCAGTCATTGAGAGGAAGACCTGCAGAAAACCAATTTCTTATCTGGTAGAGTTGTTATGCACATTATGTTAGCAAAAATAAACTTCACTCATTTCAAAACTGAAAAAAAAGTTAGGTTTTTTTTCACATGTATGTTTATATGAAAATAAATATGCTTTTTTAAAAGTTACATCAGCAGCTTTAATTGCTAAATATTTCAGTTCAAAAGTCGAAAATTTTTTGACTCCATCCGAAAGTTTTCCGACGGTGGCTGAAAATGTCCAAAATAATGTGTTTCGAAGCTCCGCATGTTGTTGTTTTTTCCCCCTAGAACATTTCTCATTACTTATCAGAGTTTTTGTTTCCTTTTGTTTTTATGTTTTTTTTGGGGGGGGGAAGGGGGGACATGATGCTTTTATCGTCACGTTTCAGACTTAAAGTAAGTTAAACCGTGTGTAGTGAATTTAAAGTGTAGGAACAGTTTATGTGATGCTCGGTTGATCTGGTTCCATTACTTGACTAAAATGTTTAGTTAAATAACAAAACATACAGTGTTTACATGAGTGAGAAGAGAAGACTTAGGAACTTCCTCCAAGGAAAAAAAAAGTGGCTCATTTGCTTTAAAAAAAAAAACAGGGTGTGGAGATAACCAGCAGGGGGCGTCCAGGCACCGTAGTTTTGGGGAAATGGGTGGACGGGGTCGGAGCTGACATTGTGGTTTGGCAGAAGCAGTAGAGAAGAGAAAAGCCTGAGGGGAAACAACCTCTCGGTGTTGGTGACACCGTGGAGCAGCTCGCATCTCTGAAAGGCAGCAGCGGCACATCGAGTCCTGCTGGCTGCTCTGTCCACTCACTCAAGGAGGAAGACGCAAGAGCCAAACCAAAGCTGCTTCAGACCAACACCCACCTGAGCCACCAGCTGTGACTGGAGCACAGCAGCCTGCTCTGAATGCTAATGAACAATAGGAGTAAATTACCTCCAGCTGGGAGCCAGTTATTAATTTGGTTCATGTGCGTTATTTTGACATAAAAGTTTTTGAGTGGAAAGGAAAGTCCTCCTATTTTCCCCAACCCCTGAAGAACTTTTAATACCGTTCCCCGAATTGAAAATATTTATACCCTTCAAGCCATTGAGTGAAGTGACAACAAACACGAAGGCATGGAGGAATTCCACTCACCTAAACATTAAAAAGCCACCTGAACTGTGACGTGAAAGAGCAAAAATAAAAGACGCTCCCATCCTGAAACAAAACCAGCGGCAGAGAGACGCTGCAGGTTGCTGGTTTCAGGCTCGGCTGAAGCATTGCGGTTGTTCCGTGGTCAGGTGTCGGGTTCTTCAGCTGCTGCTTTAAATGCAGCGTTCGTATGCGCGTAATTGGTTGTTACACGTTGAGACTTTATTACTACTAAATGGAGACAGATGATTCGCCTTGACACAACCCCCAGAGGGAAAAGCGGAAAAGAGATAAAGACACATTGAAATTGTTTCATTCAGAGAGGAAAGCCACCACAATTCTGCTTAAAGTCACTCCTGACTGCAGATTGGCAAACGGCACAAAGCAGTCATTACATGACTTTTGTAACTTTAGACATATCTGAGCAGGAAATACGTAAAGATGCATGGAGCGTGACATTTTCCTGGGAGAGACAGTTATTTAACCCTCAACAAATATTTTCACCAAAGGACTTCATAACAACACCATGAAGATGACTGACTGGCAATAACAAGACGTTGCACTGTGGAGAGCAGAATGAACAATTGTTGGCCTCACATTAGTAGGTGTAAACTCATAGATTCAAAACATCCTGGATAAACTTGTATTGGTTTAAATTTTTATCTCCCAAACTATTTCCAAAAGGGGAATTAAAAGGCAAAAAAAATGTTAAAAATTGACCAAGTGTTGTTTTAAAATTTGAGTTCAATTTGATTTCAGACAATAGAACTAGCTGGGTTAAAGGAGCAGTATTATGTATTTTTCAGACACATACTGCCATTTTGTAGCACAATCAAATGACTGTTACCTTCAGTTGGTGTGTATATCAAATATGACTCGAAAGAATTTTGACTTTGTGATTTAATGCCTTGATTTTTGGATCCTTTCACTTTAAGAAGTTCCTGCTCTTTCTGGCTAATGCTCTTTCTGAAATCCACCTTCAGGAAATCATCATTACATTGCTCCTCTATAAACCTTCTTATGATGTTTTTACGAGGGTTGCACTGAGACGTAGCTCCTATAACAATCTCAGCAGATGTTCCACCAGGTGTTTGCTAATTGCTGCTGGCTAGTCTGAAGGAGCTGTGAGGGAAACGTAGCGCTCAGAAACGTGGCGGATTGGAAACTTCAGCTTTGAGGATTAGCTTCGTCCTCAAAGGTGGGAAAAAGTCCGCCCAGGCGTTTTGCACAGCGGAGTGGTTGCCATGGAGATTAAGGGATATCTCTAACACGACCTGAAAGACTAAAAACACACACCAAGTATGTTTTTGATGAGGGATTAACATTATAACCGTTACAACATGACGTATATCTCAAAATAGTCGACTTCAAACAGTACCGTCCCTTTAAGACGTCAGATTTTCTCCTTTTAGACAAATGTTCTAAAGGTAAAACTAGAAGTTTTACCTTTTAGAGAACCACCACCTGAACGTCTTCAGGGAGAGCTTAATGCAGCCGGAGACGGGACCTTCTCTGATTAACTCCTCATCCTTGAAGGTTCATTGTAGGTCAGGGTGATTTCTCGGAGAATTAAATATGCATATAGCTCGGCTCTGCACTTTGCTAATCAGATTTCAACCTGATAGCAGCAGGCAAATGGGCGAGCGCTGGAGAAAAGATGACAGCAGGGCTCGCAAATTAGTTCAAGCCCCTCTTTTTGGCTTCAATATTTAAGATGCCCAAATAATAAATAAATAAATCTGACATGAAATACGTTCTTCTCTCATTTTGTCGATTTCAGTTTACAAACTCCGGTGTGTTTCGTCAGATTGTGATGGTAGACCAAGAAGCAATGAAGTCTAGTTGAAAGTAAAATGATTTAAATG